GGGTAGGGTGGCGGGTAGGGGGAGTTGGGTGGGTAATGGGACGGGTTGGGGGGTGGGGTAGTTAAATAGGCATGGGCAGGGTATGGGTAGTGGGCGGGGGTGGGCCGAGGACCCAGCATCCCGGGGCTAGGGTTTGGGTACGGTAAGTTCCAGGTAGTGTGCCCGTCCGGTTGCGGTCGCTGTCTCGATCCGCCGTTTGAGCGCCCTCGACCACGACCCCGGTTGCCGTTGCCGCACCCTTGTCCGCGTCCAAAGCCACCACGCTGCCCAGAGGAGGAACCATCACCATAGTTGCTGCCAAAAAAGTGTCCCCCACTGCCGAAGCTACTGCCGGAGCCGCGCCCGCCATTGCCGTTGTGCTGTCCGCCCGTGTAGCCGCTGCCCCCGTGCCCTGCCAGCAGCGCCGTGCTGCTGGTGCTGCCCAGTGGGGTCCGTTTCCGATCAAGAAGGAGGAGGGCCGACCGGACCTGAAGAAAGCTCGGTATGGGATCTTGAAATTAGAGGAACGAGGTCTGAGCCTGGAGATCATCGGGGAGGCCGCGTAGCATCTGAAGAATCAATTGGTGCTCCGAGACGGGAGCGTCGACGTCGTCCAGCCAATCCGCAATATTTCGGAGTTCTTGACAATAAGTGGCCATGGGGGTAGATCCCTTGACCGTGGTGCAGAATTGGTGCTCGAGTTGCATGGCGCGAGCATGTTTGTTGTCATGAAACAGGTCATGAATAATCTTCCAGAGAGCAGAGGCAGTAGAGACGAAGGAAATAACCAGATCAGAGACTTCATCCGTGATGGTGGAGAGAATCCAACCCTGGAGAATGGCGTCAAGTTGAAACCATTCATCGTCGTCGTCGGAGATGGGAACGATAGAGCCATCAAGATAACCGTGGAGGTTGAACCGACGTGCAAGAAGAAGAAACAGGCGGCTCCACTTTTTGTAGTTTGGTTGAGAAAAGCTGAGTTGAATAGGGACATGTAATTTGACGTTGGAGACAGAGAAAGCCAGATGGGGAGGTTTTTGAGTGGTAGACTGAGAGGTGATCTCACTTTCAGCCATGGTAGGAAGGAGGAGAAGGCCGGCCGAGAGAGAAGGAGAGGGAGGGCGGCGGCGGCGGTGATTCGGCGAAGGAGGAGGGAGGCCGAAAGGTGAGAGGAGAGATTAGGGTTTTTGGTTAGGCTCTTATACCATGAAGAAGGATTATTTTTATTGATTAAATTGTGAGAAGAGTACATGTATATATACAAAACTCTCAATCATAATTATGGTAGGAGAGACCATCTAGGAAACCTATACAAATATGGTAACAATAATAATACAACAATATTAAATATATTATATATATATTTAACATATAGGAAACAAGAGAGACGATGGAATGAAGCTCGGGAGAATGCAGAGGCTGCCCATATATATATATATATATATATATATATATATACATATACATATATATATATATACATATATATATGGGTTGGTTAAGAGTACCTTAAACTAGAATATAGTTTAATTATCTTAAACTAGAATTCATTTAAGAGTTGGTAAACATAAAATAGATTTGCCTTAAAATAAGAATAGTTTAAGGATATTGTTGAATGAGGATGTTGAATGTTGAATATAAATATTGAATGATGAATGTTGAATATTGATTATTGAATATTTGAAATGAATAATTTGTGCATGATATCAAATGATTTGATTATGGATTTAGATTTAATTTATATGGATGTTTGATGCATTAGATATGCTTATTCAGCTTTACCGTGGGGCGTGTATGTTTTATTTGCTACACGGAGGTTAATAGAAAGAAAGATTGGATGTGATAGTTTTGAATTAAAGAACATAAAAAAATTATGTATGTAATTAATTAAGTTCCCACAATATTGAAAACTTTGTACTGTATATGTTATAAAAATATTATTGTGATAAATAAAAGTGTTTGAAAAATTTTAAATTTTACGATTACCAAGTTAATATTAGTTCGAAAGGGCTGCAGACCTGGACGGATTAGAGTGTTTACATGATTAGTGTTATTGCTATTATTGTTATTATTTACATTTCTGTTCATTTTTTTATTATTATTACTCTTATAATTGTTATTATTTTTATTATATTTTATTATTATTACTATTACTCTTAATACAATTACTATTATTATTAATTTCTATTATTATGATTATGACTATTATTATTATTATTACTATTATTATAATTATGGTAATAACAATTTTAATTTAAATTAATTATACCCCCTCCGTCCACCTAATATCTTTCCATTGCGCGTTGCGAGGTTTGACCGACTTTATTTTCAATTCAATTTATTTTAAAATAGGGGTAAAATTTTAATATAAAATCTATGTAGTAATAAACTACATAAAAAGCTCTACAAAAATAGAAGTAACAACATTATATTATTTTATGAAAATGAGTAGTAAAAAATTAATAAATAAAGTAGATTAAATTTGATCATGTGAATAATGTCTGAAAAGATATATAATGAGAGAGAATATATGATAAGAGTACGGAGCATTATTTTTAATGAGATTAGATTATATGAGATCTGAATATATTACGGAGTAGATCAGATTCAAATAATTCAATAAACCTCAAATACATTAGATCCAATTAAATAAATAAGGCCACAACCGCTACACCAAAACCTCCACTCTCTCTCACTTGAGCCGCCGGTTTTGAGTAGTCGGCCACCCTAGAATTTGACAAGGATGACCACCACCAGGAAGATAAAAATGGACAAAATCGAGGTACCATTTCTGCGTTTTTTTTCATTTCCGCTTCAGAACGACTTGTCGTTCGGAAATTGGAAGTTATTTTACCCGATATCGTCATGTTTTTTTATAAACATTGTCTGCATCTCAGCATTGTTGTTGTTTAGGCAGTTGCTAAGCTTTGTGTCAAAACAGTTTAAGAAGACTTGATGATTTTTGTCAGTTAATATTTCTGTAAATCTGCAGTCGACTATATGTTCTGGTTTGTGTTGAAAGGATGAGAGCAGAGATAGGCATTGCTATTTATTTCTACTCTATTTGTGTTAAGGGATGTGGTTATATAGTAGTAATAGAAAGGTGTGAGCTTGAAGCTGCTCCCCTTTTTCAGAAAAATTGTAACATATGCTGGAAATTGTTTTACTTCAGATGTGTCATGATTTTTTGTATTTGCAGATGGCTAGCAAAAATAAGGGAAGGAGGATTGTACCTTGTAGCTGTACGAGGAAAAAAAGGAAGCTTAAACTCCTTTCCCTAGCGATTTAATATTTAGCATCCTTCTCTGCCTTCCGGCAGACATTATTTATGGGGTGATGCAATATGTTTGCCGGGAGTGGTATAACACAGTCCGCAGCCCGTCATTTGTTTATTCCCACCTCAAAAAATCAACTCATGGTTTTCTACTTCAGGTCCCTTATAACGAACCCATTAGTTTTTTGGCAATGGGGAAGAAGGGCGATGAGGTTGAGCTAAGGGAGGTAGAATTTCCGTGCTTCGGTGATTTTGAATCCAGTTGTAATGGATTACTAGTCATGGTTCATCCTGTTTGGATCGAACAGTTTTATGTTGCGAATCCTGTTTTAAACCAGCAGATTGCCCTCCCTCCATGTCCTAGCATAGATGGCATCAGAAGCTGCACTATTGTGTATGCAGCTTCATCTGGAGTGTACAAAGTGGTGTATGGCAGTGGCACAGAAGCTGAGTTTGTGTTAACCGTGGGTGAAACGGCGTGGAGGCCCCTCCAGACCAGCCAATTAACTGCCAAACTTGTCTATCTCTTGCGATATCGCCCTTTATCTCTAGGGGGTTTTCTGTACTGGGCTTCAAACTCGGACCAGTCTGTCGTTATCTTGAATGTTGAAACAGAGACTTTTCACCAGATTCCTCTCCCACAGGGTTGCACGAATAGGTGGTCAATACAGATGTTTTCAATGGGGAGTTCTCCCTGCCTAATGTGGCTAAAAGAAGAGTATGTGTGGGCACTATGGTTGCTGACAGATCAGGAAACTGGGACATGGGCAAAGATGTCCGATGTTAATTTACTGGGTCACTGTCGTGCAATCCAAGTCTGGCATCGCGGTCTGCAATCTCGTTTCACGCCTATAGGATGGCTGAAAGAGAGTGAGCTGATCGTGTTTAGGATATCGTCTTGTGATCCAAGAATTATAGTCTACAATGTCAGGTTGGAGAAGATTCATTGCACATTTCCAGTCATTCCCAGGAGACATGCCAGTCTGTTCTGGGCTCCTCATGTCAATAGCTTGGTGTCTTTGCGCAACCTGTGTGCCACTTGATGTGAGCCTGATTCAATGTTTTGTTCAAGAAATTGTTCCATTTTTCAAGTTTGCAATTGTTGGATCTTAAAGACACACATTTATGATCACGATTCTCATCAAACGTGTTTGGTATGCATTGTTCAGCTTCGTATGTCATGGTCACTTTCACGCAAGTATATCACGGACCGGGTGCAGATAGACATGTTGCGTAAACTAGGTATCTCTTTCCAAATCAACTTTGATATGTTGGTGGTTTGGTGCCTTGATGAACAATAAGTGTTTTTTGTTATGTCTTCTTGATCATGTAAAAGTAAGATGAGTGTGTTTATGTAATCTATTGATGGATGCTCTTAAGACAGATTTCAATTATACAAACTGATCCTTTTTTTTCCCTGGTTTTCCATTGAGGCCTGCAAAGTGTGGTGCTAAATTTTCCAGATTTTTACCAAACATAGAGAAAGAGAGAGTGAGAGGGGAATATAACCTCTGGAAAAAAAAAAAAGGTCATTTTTTCAAGTCACTCTTCAGATTTCATTTTCATGGTTTTCTAATGGACTCTTAGTTACCTTGGTCTTATGTATCTCATTCATAACGGCTTGGTCTATATCATTTCCTTTGTACTTCTTTTGGGTTAGAATTTCAAAGTTGGACGTTGGAAGAAAGTAGAACAGGTTAGAAAATATTACAAGAATTAAAGTGTTACAAAATCACTCAATTAAATGATCACCCAAATGAATATATTTAAAAAACTATCATTTTGGATAATTAATAAAATTCATCTTTGTTATGCTTAAGGTGATATGTTATAAATTTGGATATATTATGGTATTCTATATTAATCATATACAAATACCTTTTTAAGTTGTTGGAAAAAACTAAAAAAAGTTGAAAGAAATTGTAAAAAGTTGCAAGTTAATTTTTCTTACCTCTAATAGTTTTCCACCAATATTAAAAAAAATATAAACCAAAACATTTTTCCTCTTTTAGCTCTAAACTAAATTGTATATTTACTATTTACATTGTTAAACCTTATTCACTTTCTTTATAGAAATCACCCTAAATTAGACAAAAACGTAGATAAAAGTACCAAAATAAGACTTTTATGTTTTTTTTTCTCGAAATTGGACTTCACACTGTAGTAATGTGCTTGTAATGTAGCACTGTACATCTGCACATTGCTATACTTTTTTGTAATGTACATGACCATGTTTGGTAATGTAAATGTACTCCGTATTTTAAATCCTATTTAGGGAATAAAAACATGGAAGTTCTACTTTAATTCTCCCTCCGTTTCCATAAACATTTCCCCTCTTGACTTTTAGCCAAAATAAAGAAAGTATATTTACGGTTGACTTACCAATTTTACCCCTGATATGATCAATAAGAGTAAGATCTGAATATGTGATAGTTAAATTATTAGTGAATACTATGAAAAAAAAGAGTAAAAGTGATTTTTTAAAAGAAAATGAAAATATTTTTGAGAAATGGGGAAAAATGAAAGAGAAAGAGTTTATTACTTCCTCCGTCCCAATTTATATTTATAGTGCATGTTCAATATTCACGGGATCAAACTTCATTCACTTTCTTTTTCTATTTTCGTTAGCAATTAGATAAAATAAAATACTATTGTCACTACTAATTTTGTTTTGTCCCAATTTTCCAATAAATCGAACAGCAAAAAATTATAAATCAGAACTGAGAATTTAATTTGAAACAAAAGAATTTTTTTTGTATATTTAATATCTACGAGTAAAAGGCAGAATTCTCATAGGCAATCCCAACTCATAGTTATTTTTTTAGTATCCATCTCATAACTCGTGTTTTAACTCTTATCCTCATTTTCTCATTTACTCCGAGTACAATTTACCAACTCTTTTCATCCCATAAAAAAAATTCACATTTAAATTGACACAAAGATTAAGTAAAATTGTGTAGCCAAAAGTTGAGATAGAGAGAAACTATAAGCCACAAACAAAACTCTACAAAAGGCCAAACCCATACAAGAAAACATCACTCCCACAGTAACATCTTCCATACATTCAAGAAAACATCGAATTTTCGACGAAAAAAGAAGAGTCTTAGCTTACACACAGGGATTTTTCAATGGAAAGTATAGCTGCGGTTTCCAGAAGCAGGAAAAGCTTGGCGCCGTTTCCCTTGCTGGAATTCATTTTCCAGTTCAGTGTTGAAGGGGCCAACCGACCCGGCACTCTTTTTCTTGCTCTTGCTGGTTTCACCACCTGCCTTGCCACTACCCTCTTCTTCCCCAAAAATCACTTCTTTCCTTGCCTCCTCGTAGTTGAATGGCTCAAACCGCGATTCACTGCCGCAGCCTTTAGACTTCTCAGCTAACTTGGCTGCCCTAGACTCCTCCATGGACTGGAAGCACTTCTGGAAGCTGGAAGAGAGTTCAGAAAGTGTTTCGGGTGGGTCGTCATCCTCCAACTCACTGTTTACCGGTGGTGGTTGCTGAACATTATGAGCAGTTTCTGAGACACTATTTGTTGGCTCTTTGTCCTTTCTGCGATCATCATCGCTGTCATCATCCAGTACTATAATGTCTCCCAAATATGAAGTTGTGAATGGTGGCGAAGATTTGGCAGCGTCTTCGGAGTTGTTATTTGCTGGTGCTGCTTCTTCAGAGTGGTTGCTTATTGGTTCTGCCATGTCATCATCATCGTCATCTTCCAAAACTATAATGTCACCCAAATTGGAGGTAACAGGTGGTCCGGAAACAGGCTCCTTGTGAAGTGAGCTTTCTGAAGGCAAAGCAGGAGCTTCTTCCTCCAAAGCTTGTCGAGATGGTTCGTTCTTATCTGTGAATGTAGGGAACGGAAGGTTCAATGATGACTTTATCTGCTCCAAATTTGTATCATCTTGACCCTTGTAAATCATGACACAAAGAGGGAGAGCGAGGAAATTATTACATTGTAAATAGAAAATAAAGAGAAATGCTCAAAACGAACGCAGAAAATATGGAAGGTGTTTTCTGCCTTGCCGAACGGGACCTTACAAGACGGGACCTTACAAGGAAAACAAATACGATCAAGAAATTAAACAGATATTATTCATTGTGTTTTTTTTTGCAGAACATACTCTTCTAGAGTCCAACTTCCTCTTAGCTGAGCCACCAAGAAGCATCCCAAGACCGCGGCTTGGCTTCCTTAGAGCAGGAACAATTACTTCTGCCTGAGCAAGAGAACTGATTAGCAAGGAAACAATTAAAGAAAAGCAAAGAGCCAAAAGGCAATATATATGCTTGCCATCAAGACTGACCTGTTTGGATGTAGCAACTTCCACACTCTCATTCTCACAGTTACCCAAAATCCTAGTATCCTTGGAAGTAGGGATAACTTTAGTGATACTGCTCCCATGCTCTAAAGAACTGTTTTTCTGTTGTTTTTCGGTCACTGAACTTCCACATGTATTATTATTCAAGGATTCACTACCAATGGTAATAGCTTCCGCTTCTGCATCCATTTTCAAGTGTTCAGGAGATTCAGGTGTAAAACCGTCATCTTCTTCAGTAGCGGCCAGAGCATTCTCTTCCATTGCCTGTACACATGCATGTTAATGTCTTGATAGGAGATGCATAAGGAACTTCTGGCCTATCGACTATTGTTTATTGAGTTCACCTCATATAGAGTAGTTTGTTAGCATTTCATTATGTGAAAGAATTTTCTTCCTAAAATCAACATCTTTGTATTCTACATGGACAGTACATATCGTACTAGTGAGAGGTAATAGACAAAGATTGTTTAAACTCACAAGTATGAGGCCATTTTCTTTTTCGATCTAAGAAAGGCCAACACCTATATTTTAATCTCAAAAAGTTCGTATATATATACTCCATTACTCCCTACCTCTGGGAAAGGACTTCTCAAGTGGAAAAAGGTAAGAGTTTACCAAATTACCCTTAATGAAAGTGGGTGAGTTATAATATATAAAGTGAGGGTAGTTGGAGCAATCAAATGTTAAATAAGGGCATTTGGGAAGATATTTCAGACAGAAGGAGTAGACACACACACACACACAAAGAGAGAGAGAGAGAGAGAGGAAACATATGCACAAGCAAACGATCCAAAAATGTATCCCACGAAACTGCAAGTTTGGAAACCAGCAGTAACATAAACTAAATGTTGAGGATATTTAAAAACCAAAAACTTACTATGCGTCTTTCATTTAACAGTTTGGCAGCAGCTTCATAGGCAGCATAGTTTTGGATAGAGTGCCTAATGACGCTGACAACTGCACTAAGGTTGTGCTCAACATATGGATGCTTTGATTTTACAAGCCACCGTAATTTGTTGGCATTGAGAGGCATCTGCTTAGCTTTTGTAACATAGTAAATAATATCAAACAAGTTAGAAGCTACACAGGACAGAGTGAAGGTGGGCAGAGAGTAGAGCATACCAATTTCAACCAGTGTTCGGTTAGGCAAAACATAGCCTGTACTTTCATCTTCTGCACGGGCAATAGCATCCCTCCACTCACATAGCCCCTATAGCCAGAAAACATAGCAAACACAAGTGGTTAGCAATGATATGTCAGTAAGTGGTAATGCTCATTTCTTTTTTTACAATCCAGGTTCAAGGCCTTGACCTACTTGACCAGAGGAAATGGGCCCTGCTTTCCTAACCCACTTCCATGTACATCATGGTTTAATCTCAAATATGGGCACACGAAATGGGTTTCGAACCTGAGACCCAGGATGCAGAGTGAGCCACCCTCATGGGTTTAATCTTAATATGGTTTCCATTAAGAAAATGGGCTCTCCTACCCCACCACATGAAACCCTTGAGCCACCCATGCGGCATGCAGTGTAGTGAAAGCCCATAAACTGATGGAATGACTTGTTAATGAAAATAGTTATCAGATCATGAATCTAGGTCGCATTGTGTTTACATAAAGAAAAAAGAAACAATTACTTACCGCAACAATGGCAAGCTGTTGAGCATTCAATCCAGCACCTTGCAACCTGCACATGCATTTCAAAAGGATAGAATAAGTGCCGAGGCAAAAGAACAAAAAAAAGCAATGGGAAAGTACACAAAATGGAATTGGGAGAACCACAAAAGTTTGGGCAGGAATCATGGCTGTTAGCAGTAAATCATCTGAAGGATATTAAGTTGACTGGTAGGTGGAAACCCATACCCATATATGTGGAGATACGAACTATCAGTCAAAAGTTCTTTTTGATACAGCTGCATGCATATATCATAGCTGCGCTTGTATACCTGCAACCAACATGAAATCACATTTCAAAGGCAGAAAATATACGCTTCAACTATTTTCATAATACCCCATGACATTTGATTTCATAGGGCATACTTCAACTCCTATTGAATAAGCCTAGAGAGTGTAGACAATGCATAATGCAGTGATATGAATGAAAAAGTTATCAAGTAACAAAAAAATGCAAAACTCTCTCACCTCTACCACAGGAGAATCAGAAGATTCAGGGTCAGGGGGTAGCTCAAGCAACTTCATCCTCATTACATCATAAATGTACAGCAGATAGTGTGTATCTTCTCTGGCATATCTACAGGAAAAAAGCAAAACATCGTATTTCAGATTTTCAGCCTAGTAGCTAAAGAAATTGCAGTATGCACCATAAATATCAACCAAACAACAAGCATGGAAAATATATTAGTACGTGCAAAAAACTGCCACTTTACAAATTTATTAGTCCAGTAAAGAGAACCCAGTACAACTAGATAATATTTAAGAAAGACGAATGGTGTGCGTTTACAATAACATTACCCCAGTGCCTCAAAGGCTCCAGCACATGTGGTGGCGTGTGTGTACAAAGATACATGTGTGTGTATGTGGCGCACATGTGTTTGTGTGCCCGCATACATGTGTACTGTGTACACAAAGGCACGCACAGGCATCTATAAAACGTGTATATTAGTAGTTGAATACCATGTGTAACTTTATGTTTGAAGGAGGCATTTGTGCATATTACTATTGTTCATTTCAACTTTAACAAAACTGTCAAGGATGCAGGGCCACCGGGTTCAAGTTTCACTCTATGGTTTACACTATCTAATCGAAGTTAATTTCAACTCTATTTATTTGAATATTGGCGTAAAATTAAAAAAAATAAAATTTATGTATTTAAAAACTACATCAAAAGTTCTACAAAATAAGGTGACATGAATATATTATTGTAACAAATAATTGACGGAAATAGGTAATGAAAGACGATACAGTTAAACAATGTCAAATAGTAAAAACCGAAGATAAATAAGGCACCACGAGCATTTATAACCTTGGTTATGTGAGTAAGGTTATAGTATCATATAACCATGTCAAATAAACGTTATCTTATAATTTTAGTAGTGCCATATTAAAGCATGTATGGAATGTGGTTAAATGAGAGGTAATCATATTGAACTCAGGTATCCTAACATCTTTATTCAATAGTCAATACTCTAATTACTTTCTTAGGTCATTAGGATACATATTTCACCAGTGCTTTTTTTTGTGTGAATATACTATAGTTGTATTTATCATCCTTACTAGGTAATTGTTCTTTTATTACTAAACTCAAATTATTTTAGTGAACTGTTATTGGAGCAGCTTGGGCCAAGTGGTTGGCTTCAGCGGTTTTATGCGACAAGAAGATTTCAGCTAGGATGAAGGGGAAATTCTATCAGTACTGGTCTATAGTCAGACCAGCTATCATGCATGATGCGAGTGCTAGGCAGTTAAGAAAACCCACGTTTGTCAACTACATGTCGCAGAGTTGCAGATGTTGCGATAGATGAGCGGGCAGAAGCAATTGGATAGGATTCTGAACGAGATTATATGAGGAGGGATAAGGGTGGGACATGTGGAGGATAGGTGCGGGAAGCTAGGTTGAGGTAGTTTGGGCATGTGAGACAACAGAATGTCAAGTTCCTGGTGTGAAGCTGTAAGTTGCTTACGGTGGTGGGCTCGAGTAGGGGAAAAGGTAGACCTAGGAAGAATTAGGAGTTTATTACATCAGACCTAAACCTTCAGGCCTTACCGAATATATGACCTTAGTTACGAGCATATGGAGAGTTAGGATTAAGGTAGTTGAATAGGCGTTTGAGTTTGGTGGTAATTACTACACTTGTGCACTTTTTATGCTTGATGCTTTCGGATTGTTTTTTTCTTCTGTTAACCTTTGCTTACTCTTTGCTTGTTTTTCTGTGCTCTACGCTTTTTGTGATGTTTGTGTTACTCATGTTGAGATCTCTTGGAAACAGAATCTTTACTTTCTAGCAGGGGTAAGGTCTGCATGCACAAACCCTCTTCAAGCCATACGCTTGTGGGATTCAACTTGGTTGCTATCATAAATTGTAAATAATGGGTTATGATAAATTGTAAATAAATAATATACTCCATTCGTCCAAAATTATCTTCCCACTTGGAGCTTTAGGGTGTCCGAAGTTATGTTTTTATTTCTTTTGGCACATAGCTACATGCCTGTTTCTTCTTTATAAAAAGACACTTTACCCTCAACTTACATATTTACTACCCTTTACTCCACTATTACTAAACCCAAAAAGTAGGAAGAGGTATTAAAATAATTTTCCTTTCACTCTTAATGTTTGTGTCAATTTCACAGGGAAGGATGATTTCGGGACAGAGGTAGTAATTCACTGTATATCACAACATTGTGAATTACTAGGCAGTTAGACACACCCTCCCAGACCCTACGTTTTTTGTGAGATTTTGCTGGCTATGTTGTTCTTAGACAAAATATAAAAACATTACAAAGGACTACATTTGGAATATAGAAACTGGTTTAGGTGTATATTTTTTTGGTATATATTTCTATTTGTATACAAGGTATGAAACTAGCGTAAGAAAATTAATCGAACATACTTTTAAATATAACCAGTAATAAACTTAACAGATTTTGGTGGCTTTAAATTTCTCCATCAAAATCTCTGAAGCAGCACTTATTTCTCCTAGTGATCGTGTCTTCTATCGGCCATCTCCTAGGAATTTGTTGTCTTATCTCCTGACTTGTACTTATAGTTAAGGCTGCCGTAAATGATACAGCTTCCGCCACGGAACCTATCAATAAGTCCTTTCTTTTGCAATACTTAAAAAAGTCTATCATTGCCCAATATTATTACAGCGTTATCTACAGTAAAATTGGGTCAACCCAGTGGCTTCTACAGCACAGAGCAGGTTCGAGGGCTTGTTAAGGAAGTTGAATAGGGCTGACAGGGGGGTGCCACAACAAAACAAGGGAATGAACAAGGTCATGTTCACTAGTCGCAATCCCAACAAACACATTAGGTAATTCCTCAATTCTTTCGGGGAGGTAATCCTATAATCTAAGTTGTTGGGAATAACAAAATGGATTTAAATTTATGTGCATGCATATTTGTAAGCATGGTACTCCGTATACAAGTAACTTAATCAAATATAACCTCTAAGAAAGCAAGGGAATATTAAATTCTAACTAGGCTTTTTCCACGGTACCCTACCCTCTCGGTACTCCTCACTCCTATTTAAATTAATTGGAAAAAATTGGAAAAAAAATATGTGGCCCCTAGCTACAGAGCTCCTATAAGGCACGGTCATGGCGCGAGATCATGCACCTTCTAACAATCTCAACCAAACACACTCTGTAATTTCCTAATTCCTTGGCGGTAATCCCATAGCAAAAGTTTATTTGAGATAACAATTAAGTACCTGACCAGACCACCAAATAATACTACAAGGATCTTATGCGTAAAGTGAACAGCCACAATATCTCTACCTCATCATCTCTATAGGAAGTGGGCGCATTCTCCAATCTGCATTCTGGTATCTGCAAATTATAAGTAGGGCCTGTTTAAAGGATTATGCTTATACACAATTTTTAGGGTGTTCTGTAACATGAACTAGATATTTAAATCATACTCTTTCTTTGCCTCCACTCCACAAAAATGGTGCAGCAGATATTCTAGGCTCTTCCTCTCCAATTTCAAAACCCTTGAAGCCTAATAACGCAAACAATGATGAATTCACAACATCAGTCAAGAGAAGCATCACGCCATACCTTGTTTAGGAAAAATAAATTAAATGTTCAAACAAGCCAGTTAAAAATCCAAGGCAATCAAGTCAAACATCAACTATGGTAGTATGTTAATTAACCAGAAAGTTTAGCTGATATGTTAATCAATGTTGTTACCAGGAAAACAAAACTTGTCTCTAAAGTCTAAACCATGCTCGATGGAGTGGTCAATCAAATTCCATGCCTATCCAGTGACCACAGACCAAACAAGAGATAAAGAGAGCCCATACCTGACCAGTGTCAAATAGATTGCAGACATATATGCCGAAGTCCCGTTGAAGCCACACTATATCCCTATCTGCTCCATGCATTACCTAGTTATACCAGTTAAACAATATAAACCCCCCATTGGCAGCATAAATGACAAAGAATAAAGATGTTTACCTTTTTCTTGGTTGGATCTTTAAAAACTTCTCTTAGATACGGACCAACTTGTACACGAAGTTTCAGTGTGTCTACAACAAAATCTTCACTTCGGGTTGATATTTGCATTAGGCAGGTCATCCCTTGAAATGATCTATATTGATTGTGCTCCAAATCAACCTAGGTCAATGTTGATTACAAAATAAAAATCAGATAATTAACCTTTAAAACTATGCATGAGATACTCCTCAGACTTCAGCTAAAGAAGTCCATTCTTTCAGGGGGGGGGGATGTCAACAACAAAAAATATACTTGTACTCCATATAATTACCAGATGATTTGAACAACACACACTAACCTCACTCTGCCCCCCCCCCCCACCCACCCAAGCACAGAAGGCACACCACACACAAGTGAATGTTAGGGGCTGTTTGGCAACTTCTGAAAGTAAGTGCTGAACGAGTAAGAGGTCTGGACCATTAAGTGCTGAACCAGTAAGAGGTCTGAACCATTAAGAGCTAGTATATTGCTTAACTATTCAGAGGCAAATGTCTGATCAATTCAGATAAGAGGTCTTAACCATTCAGACATCTGAACCATTAAGAGGCTGAAACAAACAGTCTGATCTGAACCATTAAGTGCTGAACCATTCAGACATCTGAACCATTAAGAGGCTGAAACAAACAGCCCCTTACTCTTTGATAATATATACAAACCAATTTTATATAAAAGTAAATTTTAAAGCTATACCCTACAATCCTAGTATCCTATATGTTACTAATCTTTTCAAGAATAATGAAATAAAAACATAATAACATATGACCTATGACATATCGTAAAATAAATCTAATTTAAATTATAAAATACATCAAATGTCAATGATAAAATAAAGTTTGTGAGTAATCAGGTCCACAAGCACACTATCAAAGATAAAATACAGAAAAAACCAAATCTACAAGAAAGAAAGTAAATTTGTAGAACCAAACAAGTACATTAAAAGCTAGCAAGGTTTGGTGACATCAGTTACAAAACTATGAGAACAAGCCAAAAAGCCAATGTTTTTCTTTATCATGAACTAGAAGCTCAAAGTAAGCAACTTATCATTTTACTTCAATGTTACACACACTTGGATCTCCCTACTTCCAAGTATGGGCAAGGTCTGCATACACACACCCCTCCAAACCCTACTATTGTGGTATCTAATTGGGTTGTTGTTATTACTACACACATTTGGATATATCTTATATTTCAAAAGTAAAAACTTTATGGAAAGACGTCAATGAGCACCAACCAGAGTTTGCAATGGTTTTATGCAGAAGAAAAAAAACTTTGAGTTAACAGTGGTTACACTACTAAAGCTAGAGCCTTATTAAATTTAACAAAATATAAAGAACTAAGAAGAAAATTTCCTTGAGTCCCAAAAAAAGTAATGCATTCAATTTTAATAAATATTCATTAAAAAATTGACAGGCCACAAAGAAGCTCATTTTTTTAAAATCTAGATGAACAAAGTGGAGCCAGATTCCATTTCCTATGTCTCTTTCTATCCCACTAAGACTACAACCTTTTAATACATGCATGACACATAGAAGCCAAGCGTCCTCCCAAAAAAAAGCAACAAAAATTACCTACAATTCCAAGTCCACAAGCACTGTTTAGTATCACTGATCATATCTTCAAGAACAAAAACAACAAGAAAAAAATTGTAACTCATATTAAAATAAAAACTCCATTCAACATGTACCGCAAATTCATCCACTCCACGCAGCTTGGCAGCTAGCTGCTTCAGATCTTTAACATGTTCCACATATTTGAATGGAGTTTTCTCTATAGGAGGAGGTTCGATAGGCTCTATAACGCTAGCACTGCCAACAAAGTCGAGGGCAGAAAGCTCTTCCTGAATGATCATAACAAGGAATTATAAGCAATATGTTTCATCTACACCATTTAAAAAGTCAGATGAAAAAAAAATGTGAGGTAAAACATCAAATCCTTTACGATAAGGTGCTTAAGATGTAACCTTGAAAGACATAAATCATTAATTATACAAACAAGAATAGTGTGTTTTGAAACCCAACCAAAGTGACAAGGAAAAATCAAAGTGAAAATGTGATGTCTACATAGTTGAAGCAATATAATTCACATAATGACAATTACTCCATTAAACAATTACTTAAAACAACTGGATGTTAATATTGTACCACTTAAGGCGGTGTTTGGCACACAGCTCTTTGGGGAACTTTTTTGTTGAAAAAGAGCTTTTCTAGGTAAATGATTGGTCAAACAGCAATGAGAAGTGTTTCAATTGTTTTAACGAAAAACACTTGCAAATTGCGATAGTGAAGGCCTTCCCCCCAAAAATACAAATAACACAAAACAGGCCCAAAGAGACCTCCAAAAGAGTTTATATTCCAATATGTGCGTAAAAAAATAAGGAGGTAACACCAATCACTGTTTGTACTTGTTCTAAAAGACTGAAACGCAAGTAGCAGCTTTTTTACCACAAAAAGCTGGATTTCAAAAACCTTGTTTCAGAAGCTTCTAAAGATAGCATTTTTGGTCTACAGTGTTTTGCCTCTACACAAGGATTCATCTTAGCAACCAGTTTTTTCTTAAACTAACAAGCAACTTCCTGAAAGAGCTGACACAAACATCTCTTAAAATATTGGGCTTTGCCATTGATTTAGATTTTGAACATTAGTAGTGGTTCTGATACGCTTATATATATATATATGTGTGTGTGTGTGTGTGTGTGTGTGTGTATATATATATATGTATCTATATATATGTGTGTGTGTGTGTGTGTGTGTATATATATATATACACACACATACATATATATACATATATATATACATACATACATACATACATATATATATATGTATATATCCCCATATATAATAGGAGCCTATTGCATCCAGCATCGTCTTTTTTTAATTATTTTTTAACGTCGTTATCTACTGCTCTTCCCTACGGTGGGTTTCACAAAAAATAATCCAATTGAAAAGTATGAATGTTTTAAGGTTTGTTGTAAGCATATTCTCACTTTCATTTTCCATTTGTCCAAAAAAAACCTTTCCCTTTTATCTATTGTGAGTAAAAAAAATTGTCAGTCCTCTTAGTCAATTCTAACCACACATTTTCAATTTTTTCTCTTAAAGATTTTTTAATGGGACGGAGAGAGTAGTACCCCGTAGTATATTTTCAAAATTGATGATTGTTGGTTCTTTGCCATCCAGAATCGTACATTTTTTAGGATTGTAGTTCTCAGTCCAGATCTAGGTGCAACTTAGGTAGCAAAGAAAATAAAAGTACTGACCAGGGGATGCATGAATCTGGAACCATCCTCGCTCTTTTGCAACCAGACATGCTCAAAAGGCTGGTTAGAGTTGTTGACGATTATCTTATACTCATCTTGTGGCCTGCGGATATTGGCTACATGAAATGGCACTTTAGGCTTCGGCTTTGTAGCCACCTTCACCCCTTCCCCCACCTTCTCTTCACTTTTCTCTACTATGCAATTGGCAGAGACACTAGCACTTGCAGCTTTCTTGTTTTTCCTCCTGAGAACCACCTGAAACCCACCATCTGAATCCATCTTCACTCCATTTTCCTCCTCTGTCTTGCGAACAGTCTGGAACTCATCAATCGAAGAGTCAAGCCTCTCAAGCACATCGTCGTTAAGGGTAACCAGCCAGTCATACTCGTCATCGGAATCGTCTGGAAGTGGCCTCGCTTTCCCCCACAATTCAGATAACGCCCCCACCTTCTCGAGAATCTCTTTCGATTTCTTGTCGATTGTCTTGACGGGGGATCTGAATTCGGGGAAATTGTTGTAGAAATGGAAGTCCTTCTCCGCAGGTATGCCCCTTGAAGAGCCAGAGAGCTTCGCGATCGAGGAAGATAAAGGACCGCCGGCTGCTGTGAGTTCGCGCAGCGCCTCCGGCTTCTGAGAATCGGCTACAGACGTCGTCACGTCCATCATCTCCAATGGGCCAACGAAGTAATCAAGGGTTTTGTGAAGCTAGGGTTAGGGTTTTAGCATGCAGTTCATTTTCTCTCCGCGCCCAGATGAATCATCATGGAGGGGCAAATCAAGCTTGGAATGTTGGTTGCCTTGCGCCTTTAGTTTGGGACGGGAATACTAGTTCCAAGATACATGAACATTTGTTTGCCTCCAAATTAATGAGGCCCCTTTTGGCATTAGCTTTGATTGTTAATGTTAATGTTTTAAAAATGGTAGTGTTTAGAGCTAGTAGGGCCAGTGTTTTCAGAAATAATTTATATTATTTAAATTTTATTCAAAATTCTAACGTCAATCGAATATGTTATTTTCAAACAGTGCCACTTGTTTATGGATATTCGTCCATTTTTTACTTTTTAGTCAAAATTAGCAAATTTTGATATCTAATTAAATACTTCCTCCTTTCTAAAATTAACTCGCATTTGACTTTTCATGGTTTCCAATGTAACATTTTGACCATTAATATCTCTATTGCAGTCAAAGGTAGCAAGGCGCCTTGCTACGGTCAGAGGTAGCAAAGCAGTGATTGGAGGTAAAAATCTATTCCGCCAATTGCTGTGGAAATTGGGCTCGATTGCAAAAGTTTATTCCTAATCAGGTGCACACACCAACCGTCAATTGCTGTAAAAATGGATCCTCCGCTGCTTTACATGCGCCGCCGATCGCCGATCCCTTGTTTTACCTCGTCGGTTGAAGCTCTTTGGTCAGTGGCCTGTCAAACAAAAAGAGATCTAGAAGGAGAAGAGGGTGATGTACGGAAGAGAATGGGTGAAGGGTACTTTGGGAAAGTTAATCACATTTACATTTTTTCTTAATCTGTGTGTCCGTTCAAACCGGGAAGATAAATAATGGACAAAAGATATGTAGTAGGATTAGGATTACACATATCATCTTCCTAGTACATGTATATCATTACTAATAGGTTGTTAGTAAATTATATTAAATCTCTATCTTTTTCGTGAATGTTGATTGCTTACGTTTATATTTTCTCGCATCAGTCATACTATGAGTGTGTTTTCAAACCATCTTTGGCTATTGGGTATGTGTGGAGCAAGGTGAAAACATTGAATCACCTCTGAATCTATGAAAGGAGGGCTTTACATGATTCATCATGTTTCTCTCATATGCATGAATTTCAGTCACACAATTTTACTTTATTAAAAATTGTCTACTAGAAACATCTTTTTTGGCACGTATGAAGCAGTTAGTATTTCTTCCTATCCTAATTAAATTGTCAGTTTACTATTCACAGAGTCATATTTTATTCACTTTCTTTCTCCATTTTCGTCACTCGTTTGATATAAGAATATAGTCATGCTACTTCTAGTTTCGAATAATTTTTTATGCAGTTTTTAAATACATAAATTTTATTTTTTAATTCCACCCTAATTTTCAAATAAATTGCATTGAAAATATTTCAGTCAAACATCATAAACCGAAACAGACAGTTTAAATTGGGACGGAGGGAGTACTAGGTAGGTAGCTAGGCCCTTTTTTGGTCTGATTTGATGGTTTCAAGATGTTCTTGATTTGATGGCCATTTCCCTTTGAGCTTCTGAAATAGTGAAATGGTGAAATGTACATATCCATAAATGAATTTTCTTTTCTATACTTCAAATCAAATGGACTCATGAATGAATGTAGTAATTACAAATGTCATGATTGCAGTTGAATGATAGCCAAATACAAATAATCAAAACTCAATACTAATGGACCAAACAGATTTGTCATTTGTGCATCATAAGAAATCAGAGCAGCCCACATTTGGGCAGTAGAGCTATCAGAAGCTTTGGTCACTGGACTTTGAGCTTTCTGGTGATTTCAGCAATATACTTGCCCTGATAAAATGCCTGTTGCAGTTCCAGTTTGGTGGGCTGCCGAGACCCGTCTGCAGCGTAAGTTCCAGCTCCATATGAAGATCCACCTTTTACATCATCCATCTCAAACATTCCTTTCCCAAATGTATAACCCAAAGGGACAAAGATCATCCCATGATGTGCTAACTGTGTTACTGCTGTTAATCTGCTAATGTCCAATACTAGGTAAGCACTAGGCAACAAGAAGTGAAACCATGAATGGTAGAATTTAAGATTGGGCACGGGCAACTCGAACGGGTCATAAGATATCTGGGCCAAACAACGCTAATCCTCCTTTTGGATGATAAGAGAAGGGAAGGGAAGAAAATGAAAAGTGAGAAAACACAGATTACGAAGCATTTTCAATTGTTTGTTTTGGTGAGAAAATGAGGGACAAGAGAAAACTACCCATGGTTCCCACACAAACAGTTTTCTCTCCAACATAGGTGAGAACATGGCATCATCATCCTCCCACCACAAGATGCTTATCTTTTCATTTTTTATCTGTTTTTTCTCCATTTTCGTACCATTTTCTATCAACCCAAACACTAATTTCTTTTACTCTTCATCTTCTCTAAATTTTCTTTCATCTTGTTTTCTATCCCAATTCAAACAAACCATAAAAGATTGAATCCAATATATTATCTACTTCAACTAAAGGTCTTATTATCTCATTGTTCATTCTCTAATTTTCTGGTGTGGGGTGCTTTAACAAAGAATGTGTGACTCAGGAAAATGCAGAGCAAAGAGAGGAGAACTGAAAACTGACGCGGTGAGTTCTTGGCCGCCACCATGGAAGCCGGTGCTCCAGAAGATTCCAGCGGGCTTACCAGCGAGAGCTTGAGTGGCCCACAACTGATGTGTGGCATCAAAGAATGCCTTCATCTGTGCAGCCATCATCCCGAAGCGGGAGGGGCTGCCAAATAGGAAACCATCTGCCTCCAAAAGCTGTTCAGGTGTTATCGTGGGAACATCATCAGGTTTTGGAGGGCTCTTCATCTTCTCAAGAACCAGGCTGGGAAGTGTCTCCGGGACCTACGAGTTCATCTCTCACAATCAAGACCAAAGAATTCAAAACCCAATCTTGAAATATGAAATCTTTAAGGCAAACAAAAAAGTGTATCTCCATATGAAGATGGCAGAATACAATACCCAATTCTCCTAAAGATTAAGGGGCTGTTTGGCAACTTCTGAATGGGTAAGTGCTGAACCAGTAAGAGGTCTGAACCATTAAGTGCTGAACCAGTAAGAGGTCTGAACCATTAAGAGCTAGTATATTGCTTAACTATTCAGAAGCAAATGTCTGATCAATTCAGATAAGAGGTCTTAACCATTCAGACTCTGTATAATGCTTAACCATTCAGAGGCAAATCTCTTAACCATTCAGACATCTGAACCATTAAGAGGCTGAAACAAACAGTCTGAACCATTAAGTGCTGAACCATTCAGACATCTGAACCATTAAGAGTCTGAAACAAACAGCCCCTAAATCTTTATGGAAAAGAAGTGTGCCTATTAAGTACATCTTTCACAATGAAGATCAATTAAATACAATACCCAATCTTTCACAAATCAAGATCAAACACTAACGTTGTGTATGGTTCAAGGAATTAAAAAGAAAAGGAAAAAGGTTTTTCTCATTTTCCTCACCAAATTGGAAGGAAATGTATGTCCCCCTTTTTAGGCATTTTTCTCTGGTTTTCCTTTTCCTTCAACTTATTTTTTCCTCTCTAATCAAAGAAGAAAAAAATTCTATATCATTCTCTCTTTTTCTCTCTCCCAAATTCCTTAAACCAAACATAGTGTAAAGGTATGTTAAGGAAACATTTGTACTAAGCATTTTGTATGATAAATTTAATGTGTCAGATTAACATTTAGATAGACTTCTCAAATTGTTAAAGCTAAAGTCAAACTAACACTAATGCTAAAGTAGTAAACTCAACCTTATAAAGATACAATCTTTAATGCAAAAAATAAATAAATAAACAAAAGAAAAAGGGTACCTGCCAAAGGGTTGCTTTGACACCATCAACTGAATTGGCTCCCTTCTGAATTTCTCTTGCCATGATATCCACATGCCCATACAGAGAATAATACCTAAACCAAGAACACAAAAACCAATTACAAGAAAGATCAAAACATGGGTTACATAGTAGGAAACGAAGCATTTCATTCTGATGCTTACACTATGTATACATTAGCGGTATCCATGGCGCAGCCTATACATAGATTCTCCAAGAAACCAGAAAGGTTAGAGTGAGACTATACATATACAGAAAGTCTTCCCATTTTTCCCAAGTTTAGTACGGAGTATCAATTATCTATTCAGGCATTTTATCGAACAGGAACAGGGCAGCTAACATAATTGTTCAGACCAGAAGACGTACGGAGTTTGGTTAACCCGACACGTACGCAAGAATTGCCGGCCATATCATTTGCGTCACTTGTCTTCTTGCTTTTTTTGGCTTGCAAACCAACGAATTTAATTTACGTGAACCACATTCTTCCTTCCGTGCTAAATACTGGCTTTCCTACTTCATGTGTTTCTAAATTGCTAAATACTGGCTTTCCTACTTCATGTGTTTCTAAATTTAAGTACTCCCCATCTTATTCTTCTAAATTAGTAGATAATAGTCTGCAGGTTTTGAGAGGTTTTTGGGCATAGTATAGATTTATTACAAGATCTTTATAAGAGTACGTTAAGTACATATGATTTAAATTTTGGTAAATTGGTATCCAGATAAGATATGGTCTTTTTAGACCTATTTGTAACTATTGAAAGTGCTTGGTTGATTTAGGACACTCTTGATGCGGAGATTTTCGAACATGGTATGTATCGTCTTATTACAAGATCTTCACAAAAGTATGTTAAACACATATGATCTAAACTTCGATGCATTCCCACCTCGTACAATGTATCATCTTTTTAGACCTCTTTAGAACTATTGAAGGTACTATGGTTGATTTTGGATACTATGGATGTAGAGATTTTCAGACATAGTATGGTCTTATTGTAAGATTTTCACAAAGTACGTTAAGCAAATATGATCCAAACTTTAGCAAATTGACGCCCTGAATAAGGTATGACATTTAAGAACTCTTTGGATATATCGAAAGAACTTTGGTCGATTTTGAACTCTGTCAATGTGGAGGTTTTCTGGCATTATACTCCGTATGATCTTATTACAAGATCTTTACAGAAATATGTTAAGCACATATGATCCAAAATTTAGTGAATTGACACCCTGAATAAGGTATGATCTTTATAAATCTTTTTCAAATTATTAGGTGCTTTGGTTGATTTTGGACATTGTCGATGTGGAGGTTTCCGAACATAGTATGGTCTTATTGTAAGATCTTCATAAAAGTACATTAAGTACATATGATCCAAACTTTGGTGAATTGACATCTTGGACAAGGTATGTTCTTTTTAAAGAGAGATGAAGTTCATCTTTTTCTATAGTCTTATAATTATCTTTTTGCTTTTTAAAGCTCTTTTAAAATTCACTTTCAAATTTTTCAAAAAAAAAATACTCCATATTTGTTTGGCTTAGTGTAAACGAAAAAAAAAATGATCCTGGGTCTCGGTTCATGCCTTTTCTACACAAGTCATAATCACACTTTCTAATTCATTAAAATTTATATGAAGTCAAACTAAAAAGATTACGAGATGGGGTACTTTAACTTCATAAAAAAAGTTGAAATGTTAGATTTTTTAAATCCTTTTTTTACTATACACCCATATTGAAAAAATACGTGAAAAAAATTAGGGGAGTGCATTATTTAGCCTAGACATGCATCGACCCTAAAATCTATTCAGAAGTGGACCAAATCAATCCCTCTCTAATCTAATTTTCGGTCCTCTAATTTTTTTTATTTGAGTTTTGGTCCAATCTGATCCAGATTGGCTAGAAATATTTTTTTAAAATATGTTTTCTAATTAATTTTAGAGGAAGGTAATCTTGCACCAATTCAACTAGGGTACTAGCGGTTAACAAAAATTTGATTGGTACAATTAGAGAAGATGAGGGACGGACCGGGTAGGCGGGTGTGAGTAGGTTATCAAGAGATTAGGGGGTGGAAACAATCAATTTTACGATCGAAGCACCGTAGATGCCCGAATTAAATTGGTATAACAATCTTACATCAACTCAATTGGTGTAGGCAAATTCTATGGTGGATCTAAGGTCCATCATTGACCTACATATGAGCAAAATAAATATTTTTTTACCCCGGAGTACTATTTAAACAAGCATCTATCTTTTTAACAATAAAAAATTTAAAAAAAGATTTTTTAGGTGAGAAGGTCTACAAAAATAATATACACCCAAAGTGCGTCATAGAAGCAACTCATTGGTGTAAGATTATCCCTTCATATTTTAACCATATAAATTTTGAATTTTTTTTCCTTATCTATTACTCCGTAATATAGGGTGTTGGCCCATACGAGCCAAACTCAAAATCCCAAACCCGTCTATTTTATTTCACCAGCTAGGTCGAATCAACCCGTTGGGCAATTGGGTACATATAGATATCCATATCTGCCTCACTTAGTTCTTTTCTTGTTTACTTTTATGATGGATTTTATGATGCAACATTTTCAGAGGAGGTACCTTAGTGCATGTTGTTTGTAGATGATTTGAAAGAAGATGATTGATTATAAAACAGAGAGTTCTTGTGAAATAAGTAAAGATTTTGAACATTCATTTTGTTCAAAGAAAAAAAAAAGAAAAGAATGTTCACTTCACAGCTAGAATCTTACTAACAAGCCATCACGCGATTCACGCCGTGAGACGATCAAAGACTTGAGGGGTTTCTTCCCATTTCGGCACAGCTGTTTTGTCTGGGAGGATAGTGACCCCGGAGAGACAACTTACCCAGACAAGGACTTTATATGCATCCGCGAGCACGACCAGGTCTGAGGTGCCCATTAGGTGATGATGGTTTCAGATTTGATGGATCTGCCAAGTACACCAAAGGGAAAAAAAATGATTAAATATTAAGTACAAAATACAAGACGTGGGGCATCCTAGTCAAATCTGCAGCACCCGTTTCGGGCATATCAGCACGGTTATGCAGACTATAATCTCAATGATCCATTAATGCAGCATCGGTCTCTGATAATGGCGCTGCAAAAGAAGAAATGAAGTTTAATTAAAGGGGATGGTATAATGACATGTAAATCAAGAATGTGAAAGAACAGAGAGGAAAGGATGAATAGATCGCACTACAACGATCTGACAAGAAAAAAAACAGATAAAAATCAGGGAACACACGAAAACTGCTAATATGACTTAACCAATTTTGCAATGAGACACTATAACAAATAAATAATCATAATAGTTTTCATGAAAGTAGGGAAAAAATACTAAGATGATGGCAGCTTTGGAATTAAATTTAATTATTTCTGCTTTAGAAAGACGCCATACCAAGGACATCAGGCACAAAACCTTATCCTGTGCCTTTTTTGCATCAGCTTAAGTGTTAACTCATTCTAGACAATTAATGAAACTAGATTTCATGCAACCGCAATTTAGTTGGGACTAAGGTGGTGTTGGCGATGACAAAATCTTTACATACTACATGTACATAAATAAAATCTGATCAGCAATGTAAAATTATTTGTCTGCACTGATGTGGCACCTCATGTGACGACGCGGATCATTGATTTTTTTTATGATTCAAGAAAGTGCTTTCTCTTTTAACATTTTGTTTTGTTTTTATCAAGTTCTAAGAGATGAGCATTAGTTGAAACTGATGTGCAAAAGGAACTGGAAAATTTGACCCTAGGGCTTCATTTCCAGTGTGGAATATTCCTTTGTTCGGGAATAATAACCAAGTTCAAGACGCACATATAATCGTATATAGGAAAGCTGCATGCCAAGCTTCTGGATAATGCTTTCATTAAATAAAAATAACTACGAGTTGAGTCAAAACAGATGGAGGGGGTGAGAGAGAGAGAGAGAGATACCAAGCAAGTCTTCATAACCATCGCCTAATAATGAAGTCTCGATCAGTAAAGGGGGTGAAAATACTTCGTTAGGAATTTCATCCATATCATAAAATGATTTGGGTGCATCAGAAACTGAAGAGTTTGAGCCCACAGCAGAGAGGAACCCATTCATAGTATCGAAGTCATCAAAAGAATCCAGATCAGTTAGTATATCAGGTAACCCATCAGACTTGCCACCAGCATTATTTTCTGAACCACTAGTTACTAGATAGGATGAGTCTGATCCAGAAGAAAACAATTGTTCAGCGCTTGACAAGATTGATTTGGTGTCTTGGCCAACACGAGAAAACCCAGCTGCTCCTGAATGTGGTACGAAGTAGTGCTCGGAGCTCTCATCATAATGACTGCCTTGAGATGATTCTAGATTATTCGATTGGGACAAATGGACAGCTTCCCTGACTGATCTTTTCAAGTTTTGTACAAAATAAATGTCATCATCTGCAAAAAATGAATATAAGAGTATCATTGGAAAAGGTCAACTAGAAAAGCAAATAAAGGATGTACGGCAATGTAAATAATGCATGTTGCACACAACGGATCAGGAAATAATACAAACCTTGAGATGGGTTATCCATATGATTATTTAACAGGGGCTGGTCCATGAACAATTTTCCAGAAATGCTTTCTGCATGCTTGGTTGGTGCCAGTATCTGTCTCTTCTGCTTGTTCCCGCCTTTCCCAGAAGAACTAGGTGTTAAACTAAATAAAGGTAAAAGCTTTAAAGCAGAAGGGGTTGCTGAAGCATTCTCAAGCTGAATGGCTGACAATCTGGAATTCATGTCAGCAACTTCATCAATGCTATTTTCCTAGAAAAGACAAAATTGTGAACTTAGTGATAGATTCCGAATCTACAATATATCACTGAGCCTTATGTTCCCAAAAAGTAATACCAGCGCTCTCCCACTACTCTGTGCTTGGACAGGTGAATTCGAGCTGCCATTGTGTCTGGCCATTCCAGGTAAACTGGAAGAAATACTATTAACCTCCTCATTAAGTTCTGAAATTGAGTTCTGTATAGCTGGAGCAACTTCCTTCAGTTGATTAATGAGACCCTGCAAGGTAAAAGTATACTTATCAGTATATGATGAAAATGACTATTCTCGTTCTTTAAGTAATTGACTCTACTATCAGCAAATAAGTCACATTAGTATATGCCTTTCACCTGTATGCTGGCTAAATGTTGCTGATGTTCAGCTAGTGTTGCTGCTAAAGATTCAGCATGACTACTTGTGCTACCATCATGTGAAATTCGTAGAAGCTCTGGTCCTTCTCCATCATTTGCTTTAGTCTGCATAAAACATAGAAAACTGACTAATTTCTCTGGTTGTTAAATAACTGTTGCTTTGGAGAAAAAAAGTATTCTCGAATATTTTCACTTAAATACTGAGAAAGCATTAATTGTTCATTTTCCACCATTGTCCAGCTTCCAAAATGCTCTGAACTTTAAAAGCCTAAAAAGGTATTCTGGTCATAATATAAATAGTGTCTTTTTATTGGTTTTAAATATAAAACTGCTTACTTAATGTGTGTAAAAACAATAAAAACTACGTAGTAGTAATTAAAGAATGGATGGTGTATAAAGCACTTTACATTATTATATTCATCAACATGAGACATTTCAGTGTTCCCCAGTAGCAATTAAGGAGGCACCATAAGAAGTTAGAAAGAACTTGAAAATGTTAATCTAGAAAGTGCTTGCTTTTATATTACTCCGTACAATCCCGATGCTTCGCAACAACTAGTACAAACTCCAAAACACTATAAGTTCAGGGCATGTGATACGTTATTGGCAAGGTATACCAGCAAAGTTTATGGAACGAGACAATAGACAAACTGGCAGCAAATTAAGGAACTCCTTATTGCCAAACTTGTTCATTACCTTTTCAAACCAGTTTTACTTGACATTGTTTAAGAATGAGTTTTTGTTATTTTCTTTTCCTTATGAGAATCGTGTGAAACATTCTCATCCTTACTATAAGAGCTTTGATTCGATAATAAGACACCATAGGTACTGAATTTAACATAGGAGAAAAGAACCCCGTAAACCCCCAAACTGCTTTGTCATCTATTTTCTGCGCAGCCACTCCCCTCTGCCTTCTTCCCTCAGTAAGCACAAGGGATCCAGAGTCTTCTATCTTCGACAGTTGCAGGTTGGTGTTTATTTTAGCCCGGGAAAGAGGGAACACAGCATCTTGGTTATGTTTCCAGGTATCAAACCCAGCTCTCTTGGGCGAAGACCAAGCAAATAACTAACTAAATGAAAAGATGAGACTTGAGAAATGTCATGGCAGCATGGTTTATTTGATGAGCACTGGCAGATCTTGCAGTAATAATTGGGCATAGGATGCTATGTGTCTAATTGGATTCCTAAAACTTTAGAAGTGCGTGCAAATTGCAAAGCAAAGAATTGTAGAAGAATAGCAGGCCACAATTAGTAGTCAGGAGCATGTAAAGTAGTGCGCAATATAGCATACCAATTGAAGTGATTGCTTATGAATTCGTTGTAGGGCATGAGTCCATCGCCTCAAAACTTCTGCTACATCAACCGTGCGGTGGGATCTTGAGGTTCTATCATCCATTTGTGAAAATATCTCCTCGCTTCCTTTAATATGGGAAGAATCAGAACTGACTTGGTAATAGTATTAATAAAAAACTTTTTGAGATCCTTTGGTTTCACCTTTCTTATCGGAATGTGATGCAGATAAATCAGAAGGAACTGCAGAACTTTGGTCCATTGCTGCAAGCAATGATGACCCAGAAATTCGATACCTGAACATGTATAAATATGACTATTGGTCAAGTTCAAACAGTAAATCTAAAGCTCTACAAATACAGCTATTACCTATGTTCACGGTGAGCTATAAGATCCTCAATGGGGCCTGAGGCAAGAATCTCATGCTGGCCTGCAAAATTATATTAATGCAAAAATTACAAATGACAACTAACCCACTTTATTCATTTACTAATTGAACTCAATTAACAACATAAACTGAAAACAAATATCATACTGATTAGTGTCTGATAAACCATAAACCCAAATCTGTAATATATTGAAACAAAAGCAAAGTTCTAATAGCAGCTACTTACTCTTGCAAGATAGTAACGAGTCCCATAAGCGAGTTGCTCTTTGAACCATGTGTGAATTTTGACTTGAACTAGATACAAGCTCATCCCACTGTTCACCCTCCAACTTGACTTTATTTCTTAAATCGTGCAATTTTTCAAGTTCTTGCTGCAAATATGCCTAAAACAAAACTCCAAAGAAGCACAAGAAAGAGCAATTCACCTCGAGAGTAAGTGGATATGAAGGTCCTTAATGGAAAATGCAAATATGCTTTGATTTACCTCTTCCGCACAAAGGCCACGAAATTCAGCCGTCATCTCATGAGCCAAATTAGACCAAACTGCCTGCCTGCGCACAGCTGTTTCTGCATTTTTCAGAAATCTCTTTCTTTCAAGAGCAATCCTAGCCTTGTTTAAGAAAGGGGATTCAAATTAGCAAGCGACTGCACAAATTATGTTACTTCCTCCAACAACTAAGTAACATACACATTAAAATAAACATTGGATCAAATGTGCAATGCTCGTGCATGGAAGGTAGATGCTTCAGGAACAAACCACATGAGTCATGACCTAGTTTCCAATTGAGCAATTGGAAAGTATGCCAAATAAAGATTAAAAAAACGGCAAGGTATGTTACCTTGGTTACAGGAAGCAGTGAAGCAGCATGTGAGAAAGCTACATCTGTCAATGAAGCGGGTAATGGACTGGACGCTACATCAGCTGCAAAAGTTCTCCTATGAACCTCCCTCAAAGCATGTAAAGAAAGTTGCCAAAGGAGTTCGACAAATCTGTATTACATACGAAGCATACCATGAGCTTTTTTTGGTACATCAGCATATCTGCCATATCATGATATGTGATGCACTATAAAACTGATGGAATGTTAGTAAGATGTCATGAGAAACAGGTGGTGTGCCGATGAGTTTTCCCCAGGAGGGTGCATGAATACTATGATATGGGAGGTACGATATGAGAGGTAAGTCAGGTAACCAATTACATTGGTTTTCTGATTGCGCATACCCACTAAAAGTACAACATAAAATGTTAATATAAGCAATCCACAAACAACTTTTCTGTTATTTTGATACCTTCGTAAGATGCCTATGTCACCCAATCAAAAATCTCGATCTCAGATAATTGTAAATGTTAATTACTTGATTCATTGAAATATGAGGGTGTTTGCCAGTGAGTTTGAAAACAACTTTTGGCTTCTGCTTTTTTGATGAAATTCTGGAGTGTTCGGGAAACAGAAACACTGAAAAAACTGATTCCAGCTTATTTCTACAGCAGATTCCTTCTCAAACTTCTTTATGGAGAAGCTCCAATTTAGAACATCTCTCAAACGACTTTTTTAAAATGGCTTTTTAAGGTCTGATAATTCTATAATTATTCCCAAACACCCCCATAGTACTAAAAACATGTCAAGGCAGTCAAATTAAAAAAAAACAAACAAACTCTGTCCACTTCACTTTTCTTCCTTTTTGTCCATCCCAGTATTACTTCCTCTTTCCTTTTGAAAAAAAGATTATGTTTTTGATATTGTCTTTCTCGAAGAAACTTAAACCACAAAGTTTCTACTTTCTCACAAAAAAAAAGTTAGGTCAAAATGAGATTCAAATAAAGGGACGGGCGGGCTGGGGTATGTTAGACCATGATCCGGTTACCACTAGCTACTATATCATTACGTAAGGATGCACGCCATGAGTAGATGGCTTGGTACTTGCCAAGGCTAACTTCACTGGCATTGGCATCTCACCGACCATTGGGGGACAGGCTACCCTAGGTCTTGCTTCCCTCCAGAGTCCAGGCCCATTTCACATTGTTCAAGCAAACACTCAGCCACAACCAAGAGCCAACTTAAGGTTGGCCTACTATTGACTCCTCAACTAAGCCCACACTTCACTGTCTACTCAGCCAATCTTATTCATACCACCAACCATGAATGACTAGTTATGTTGTTTTTACTCTAGAATATTTCAAACATAAGGGTGTAGTTGGATTCCTGAGGGGTTAGCTACTTAGCTAAGTGCTTATGAGCTCCAAATATTGCTTATTGTTGCAATCTCATAAAGATGAATGAATTAAAAAAGGAATGACCCAATGACTTTTTGATGGATTCAGAGTTGATGCATAAAATCCAACACACAAGGCAGATAAATCTTTAAAAAAATGAAAAAGGGACACTCAGAATCCAATGACTGGAAGCATAAAATACTACGGAGTAGTTCAAAAGAAAACTGCAAGGAAATAACTTTCATTCAAGACGAAAACCAAAACAGATTCAAACATGGAAAATAGTCACACACACATACACTAACCTCGTTCCACAACAAGTAGCGAGAGATGATACCCTTGAGTTGCTCCTGGATAGCGCCCCTTGCGATTCCAGCTCACTTATGATTCCTTGTACGACCTAGATATTTAAAATTCGCAAGAAATTGAGAAATGGGCAGCTTTTAAACAAAAACTTCACATTAAAGATCTCGATTCTTACAAAAACTAAACCACATTACCTTGCGGAAATCTCGAGACTGGGCGGAATCAAAAATCGGCCATACCTTATCAAAGTCCTGAAAGAACTCCAAGTTAGGAAACGGAAAACTCAGATCCAGATCGGAAAAAAAAGCAGACAAGCTCGAGAAATCTTTTCCGTACTTTAGCAGATTGAGTTGGGCCTCTGAGAGAAGATAGTATGAAGTAAAGAAGCTGTTCGCCCAATCTAGGGTTGGAGTGACGAAAGAGCCCGACTCGAGGCGTGCCGTTGCCGGCTCCGATGCCGATGATCGACGGATCCAAACCTAACAGCAAACAGTTGGTGTACATTGCACTCTCCAGCTCAACTTCTCTTTCCTTCTCATGCTCCATCGTCATTTCACCTTCTTCTTCTCTCACTCTGCAATTTTGGGTCTACAGATGTGAATTTTGTTAGTCTGTGCACATGCTGGTCGGCCTGAACAACAAATTCCTTTGCTCCAGACTAACTCATCAAATTTAAAAACCAGCAAGCGTGTTAGTATGTTTTTGAATTGTTTTAGAGCAAAAGTTTGGTGATTGGATCTCACACTATGTTTCTACTTTGACTAAATTTATAATTGATCTTTTATAAGAGAATGTTTTTCATAATTTGATGGTAAATGGTGTAAATTGACGTCAATCATATATCTAGTGACTATTCTGATGTCGGTTAGATAGACAATACAACAACAATGACTATAATTGTGGGCTAGGAATCCGACGAACGATCACATCTATAGACTATGTTTGTACTCCCTCCGTCTCATACTCGATACCACACTCCAAACAACGTTCAAAACTCCATCATTTTTAAAATCATTTTAATTACAAATAAAAGCTATAATTTACACCATTTAAAATTACATTAAAAAACTCTACAAAACAAGATGTGACAAGATATTTTATTTTACCAAATTATTAATGAAAATATACAAACAAACAAAAGTTATCGAGAAACTGTAATAGTGACAGCGGCATCCCATTCGGGATGGAGGGAGTAGTAGACAACGACTACAATGAACAAACGACACATTAGAAGCGGTCTTTGGAATTGTGTATGACACGAAAAATTAATGATCATTATGGAATTACACTTTTATCCTTCAAATTAACATCAACATGTCAGACGATAAAAAATGACTAAGTTGCCACATAAAGTTGTTCATGACAGAATATTGGTTTCTTGAGTAACAATTCAACATGTGACAAAGATTGCTCTTGACTTTTGTTAATCGTTACTGCATACGTAGTAATAATTGAGAATTGTTTTCTTTAAATCTTAAAAGGAATTCTTATACTTGACGGTGAAAGCGACAACCATGGGATGACAACTTCATGACCAATATTTTCCTTGTCACCATCATTGTCCCTTGAATAAGATGATTGCCAAACTGAGTTACTATTAACCATGGATGTGGTACGGTTTTGGGCCGATTCCGATACCACCACGGGCTAGCAATGTAATCGTCTTTCGTCACTGAAACGCCCTAAAACTTGGTGTAGGAATCTTAAGTTTTGAGTACATATAATGAACTTATTGTCTCTAAAAAACAAATTTTGATATAAATATTACATTTAAAGTATGGAAAAAATATTACTAGATAAAAAATAGGTGTCACTACTCTTTGTGAAAAAATAGTATAAATTTCAAATTTAAGTTTTAAGGATTAAGCGATAAATGAAAGAAGTAAAATAATTTTGGCATGCTCTATTGTCTAAATAATGTTTTTTGATAAAGTAAGCTTGTTTTCTTAATAACAAAATATGTTAAAATAATGTATGAAAAGTATATAACCTAACGGTGTAAGCTTTATATTTTTCTAAAAATATATAATAATTGAAAATGTGAAAATCAGACAGTATAACACTAAGCAAACAGAGAAGAAAAGATTTTTAGCCTTAGTTGTTGCTGATGTTCCTATTTACTAACATCATAATAAACTTAGTTGTTGCTGGTGGAATCATCCACTAGGGTTGATGGGTAATAACCCATGGATTCCACCCGGTAGGTACGTACCCACCAGGAGGTATCAAATCTAACACCCTATGACCCCGTTGACATGGGCACCGGTCAGGGGTGAGAAGACTCAGAATCGCACACATGGCTTCACCTAACAAGGGCACTGAAACTGACCGGTTGGGAACTGACCGGCTGGAAGAGCAGAGATGTGCTTGACGTGCTTAGGGATTATTATAAATAAGACTAAAAGCCTCATTTGTGAGGCATGCTTTAATTAATCCATACGGCTTATACCTTGTAAAACAGTCCTACTATCATTAATAACAAATCGGGCTATAGGTGTTTCCACCTAGCTCTTCCGCTCATTTACACTTAATATTTGCACGGTATTTACACCATCAAATTGGCGCCACCCGTGGGACCACATTACTAAAAAGCCATGACAAGCAACTAAGAAACCGTCATTTCACAAATCTCCATCCCGGTTGAGAATGTTACGTCGCTCCCGGGAGGAAATACCCTGCCCACTACATCGATCCTTGCTCCTATAATCACCATCTCAACACCTACCCCATTCACTTCCCCGATAACTTCTGTCCCTGTTTTTCCTCCAAATTTTCCCAGGCTCATGGACCCGATATATTCCCAGGCGCTGCAGAGCTTTGGACAATTTATGTCCATGCTTCAATAGCCAGGAGGGTTTTCCCCCTTCATTTTCGGGCTATACCCACAAACCTTGCCCCAAAGTGCTCCTTTCACTAACGTGACCAGGTTCCCCCCATCATTCCAACAATTTAGCATCATCCGGCCGGTCATTCCGACGAATCTGGTCGGGGGAATGGATAAAGTTGGCCCGTCCCGGTCTAGAAGGAGTCGGTCTCGAAGATCTCATACCCGAATAACACCAAACGGAGATGTGCGTTCGGTTAATAGCAAAGACGAGGACTAAGATGTTCCCCAGGCCCAAAAGAGATTGAACGGCAAGGTGATCCAGCCGGAAGGATCCAGAAGGTCAGCGTTCCAGAGACTGGGACACGAAGGAAGAAACCAGAACCGATCGGCCAAGGAACGGTTGGGGGTGGAAACCATTCCAGTGAGTGCCTTTGACCGGCTTGGAAGAGGAGGCGGACGACCTGGTCGGACCAGGCGAACCGAACTACCTCCTCGGGATGAACCCCAACACAGCCGAGTGCCCCTGGAGGAAAAGGAGGCGGAAAGTCATCCGAGGCACCCGGTCCATACACATACTGAACAACCCAGGGACCATGAGGGCCGGGTAGAAGCTCGATTGGAAAAATTACAACGGCGGGTGAACCGGGATGAGAAGAAGAAGGTTTTACTAAATGGATCTTCATTCATCGATCGAGTGCATGAGACCCCTTTCCCAAAGCAGGCCAAGCTTGAGGTCCCAAAATTCACTGGTAAGGAGAACCCATAGATCCACATCAAAACCCTCCACCAAAGTGGAAGAATGATGGGACTCACCGGGGATGAAAAATGTTTACTTTTCTTCCAGACCCTCCGCGGTCGAGCCTCCGAGTGGTTTCACAACCTCCCGTCCGGCGAGATCGATTCCTTAGACGAGCTGGCAGAAGTGTTCCAGGAAAAATTCAAGGAAAATTGTACCATCTAGCAAGATCATTTGCCAATTTTTCATATCTCAATTTTAGAACTTTTTCACACCTTTTAATATAAAACTCTCTCTCTCTCTCAATACACACACACACACACACACACACACACACACACTGAATGTGTGAAAACATTATGAAATCGAAATTTTGGAAAAAATGTTCAACGCTTACATGAAATATTCTTTTTCTAAATTTATTTTTTGCTTTTCGTTTATTAAAGAATTCAATTGAAAAAGGAGATATTCCACTTACCACTAGATAAATACTCCATCCACGTGTTCATTTCCAAACTTATATAAAAATATTTTTATTAGCAACTGTATTATATCCTTTGTTTAAGTTTTGATGTCAATATTGTATTTTGTTGGATGTCAATATTATATTTTGTTGGATTTCATAACACACATTAAAGACTCTCTTTCTCAGACTTTATCATTCAGATAGATAGAAAATGGGAAAACTTTGAAATTTGAGTCTTTATTCCCAAACTCATTTTTAAGATTCCCAACTCTATTCATCTAATAAAAATCAAAGACATGTAATCAATAATAATTGTTTTTTGAAAAAAATATATTTTGTAATAAACTCCCCAATTGTAAAAAAACTCAATCGTCAATTCCGTCTACTTATATAATTTCATATTTTTATGCTTATTTTTTGTAATTTTTATTCTATGCCATTTCATATTATAATCTTAGTCAATTGACATAAAGGTAAAATTCTGTGTCTGGTACTTGCAAAAGTCCATGTTTTGCATTAAATCTCATTCTTAACACAGCCACATTAGATCTCATTCTTAACTTTGTTTATCATCACGTGTGAGAATTAAATTGTCTAGATACCGGATATAACCCATAAATATTCATGTTGACATTAAAAATAATGGAACATTTAATAGAAAATACTCGAATGATTTCATATTAATGGTATGAACATGGGTAAGTAACATATTGATACCTCGATGAATTAATGTTCCAAATTAAGAGAATTATTTAACTTAATAAATTGATAAATATTAATGACAAAAAACAAGTTTAATCTCTATTATGAGATAATGAATTTTTAATAATATTTTACTAATATATTTTTTTTGCACCGTAAACACAATTTATTACCAAAACATCAAAGTATCATACAAGCAAGTCAAATATCAGAACACAATCTAATGGCGTTTATAAGAGAAACAACAGCTTAAGTAATCAACAATGTATTTAATGGTGTCTTCTTCTTGTATCCTCTTCTTATGCAATGCTTTGTTCCTTGCTCTCCAGATCCCATACACAAAAGCAGCCTAAATTGCATAACTCTTCATTCTTCTTCCTTTCTCTTTTATGAGCTGTAGTACTTCCCCAAACTGCATTAATGAGTTTGCTTGATACTGCCATCCAAACCTTCCAAAGCTCTCATTATACACCCTTTGGGCAAATTCACACTTCCAAAAGAGATGCTCATCCGTTTCTGGTTCTTTTTTACATAACAGACAATTAATGGCATTACCTAATGGGAGGAATTTGCTCATTCTCACCTTCGTTTGTAATCTACATCGCATCAAAAGCCAGAATATAACCTGGAATTTGTGAGGCGTATGTTTGTTCCAAACCCAATTCCTCCATTTAGGGGTAGTTTTGTCCCCTTGGAGCCATTCATACACTGCCTTGATGGAAAAAAGGTTGAGTGTTATTCATGCCCCTAAATAAGTCTCTCACCTTGATCATTTCCCTCCAGTAATGGCATGAACTCAGATTTGGTATGTGGTCCCAAAAATTGGCAGTTTTAATATATCTGCTATGTATCCATTTCACCCATTATATGTCTTTTTTCTCATCAATGTCCCAATTTAACTTCATTATTGTGGCTCTATTCCAGTTCATAGCATTCTTTAATCCCAAACCACCAAATTTCTTCTTCTGACAAACTTCCTCCCATTGGACCAATGGGGCTCTTTTGTATTCATGGGTACTGCTCCAAAGAAAGTTTATACAGATAGCCATCACTTTCCCTATTACCTGTTTGGGCAAAATAAAAATTCTTGACCAGAAGGTTATAACACCCATAAGTACTGAGTTTATAATCCTGATTCTGGCACTATAAGAGAAGTGTCTAGTCCCCTAGGCAGTAATCTTGTTTGTAAGCTTATTAATCAATGGTTCGCAATCCCCTGCTTTAAGTCTTCCGGTGGTAATAGGGCAGCCAAGGTATGTGAAGGGTAGTTTGCCCAGTTTCATATCAGTGAGTTTTAGAAGCTCTTCCCTCCTCTGGTGATTCACTCCTCCAAACACAATATGCGATTTCTGCTTGTTAGTCTTAAGGCCAGTTGTGTTCTTGAACTTTTCCAGAACATTCATTGCACACTGGATTGGTCTACTTTCTGCCTTACAGACCACTATTAGATCATCCGCAAAAGAGATTTTGATGATCTTTAGCTCCTTACACATTGGGTGGTACGAAAATCCTTCTTTTTGAGCAGCTTCAGCGAAACATCTGGTTAGGTACTCCATTACAAGCACAAATAATAAAGGAGATACTGGATCTCCTTGCCTTATTCCCTTCCCTCTCCTGAAGTATCCATGGTGCTCTCCATTAACGTTTATTAACGTTTATGGTGTATGATGGAGTGGTAACACAAAACATAATCCAGTTAATAAATTGCTCAGGGAATTTGAGATTATAAAGGATACCTCTGATAGCTTTCCAGCTTACTGAATCATATGCTTTTTGTATGTCCAGTTTCATCATACACCTCGGGGAAACCCCTTTTCTGTTATATCCCTTGGCTACCTCTTGACATAAGAGTACATTATGTAGCAACTCTCTCCCCTTGATAAAAGCTCCTTGGTTGAGATCCACCAAATTGGGGCATGACTTCCTTCAATATTTTACTAATATAATATATGAAGTAATTTATTAAAATAAAATGTGTCACCGCGATTTATGTGTTTCCACATATAGTATTTATAATTTATCATTTTAATATCTCTGACTCAATAAATAAAAAAGGAATGTTAAATGCGTAAATTGTTTTTAATCATAAAATAATTAGAAAAGAAATTACATATAGAAATATATATATATATATATATATATATATATATATATATATATATATAAGTAAGTAAGGAACATGTGTTTCAAAACGTTATCAAGTGCTGGTAATTTAGATTTTATACAATTCTAACTCTTATAATTTATTCATGTCTCGTCTAGGATGATTTACCAATTTTTCCTATCTCAAATTTAGAATTTTTTCACAACTTTTAATATAAATCTTTCTATATATATATATATGTGTGTGTGTGTGTGTCTATATATATATATATGTGTGTGTGTGTGTATGTATGTATATGTGTGTGTGTGTCTATATATATATATATATATATATATATATATATATATATATATATATATATATATATATATATATATATATATATATATATATATATATATATATATATAAGAGATAGAATGTCTAAAAACATTATGAAATCAAAATTTTGGAAAAAGTGGTCAATGTTTTCATGCAAATACTCTCTTTCTAAATTTATTTTTTTGCTTTTCGTTTATTAAAAAATTCAATTGAAAAAGGAGATACTCTACTTACCACTAGATAAATTTCTTACTCGGTACTTATATATATATTTTTGTTTAAATGGAGTTGGTTTTAATGAAATCAAATGTTGGAGATATCCAAACCATAAAATAGTTTTGAAAATAGGAGAACTAATAATGTTATTAAAGAACATTGATCAAATATCTAGATTGTGTAATGATACAAGATTAATCGTTGAAGATTTGAAAAATGTCACTTGTATAATTGTTGTATTGGGAAACAAAGTCAGGGAGAAAGTTTACACACCCGAATAAATTTGGTGATGTATGATCTGAGATTTTCTTGAAGTTTCAAAGAAAATATTTCCAATAACTTTATGTTTCGCTTTGATTATCAATAAAAATTAAGGCGAAACATTTTGTTGGATTTTTTTAACCAAATTGTTATTCATCCACGACCAATTTTATGTTGGTGTTTCATGAGTGAAAACAAAGTCAAGATTGAAATATTAGTTTTAGATATTAACGGTAGCCATTACAATTTCATAAAAAAATGTTGTATACTTCGATGTTTTTTCAAAAAAATAGGATTTAAATAGGTCATCGAGGTGTTCATTTCCAATCTTATATAAAAGCATTTTTATTAGCAACTTTATTATATCCTTTGTTAAAGTTTTAATGTCAATATTTTATTTTGGTGGATTTCTTAACTAGTAGCATTTGTTTCAAAAAAAAACTAGTAGCATTAAAGAAACATTACACAGTAAAAAAATATTCATTCAATTTCATGCATAACGCACATTAAAGACTCTCTTTTCAAACTTTATCATTCGGATAGACAGAAAACGGGAAAAGTTTGAAATTGTGTCTTTATTCCCAGACTCATTTTTAAGATTCTCAACTCCATTCATCTAATAAAAGTCAAAGACATGTAACCAATAATAATTGTTTTTTGGAAGAAAAAATTATTTTGTAATAAACTCCCCAATTGTAAAAAAAAACTCAATCGCCAATTTTGTCTACTTATATAATTTCATATTTTTATGCTTGTTTTTTGTACTTTTTATTCTATGCTATTTCATATTATATTTTTTTAGGTACAAAACACATTCTTTTATGCAATTTTTTACGAAGTATTTTATTTTTTATGAACAAAATACAGAAACACATGAGCAAATGCCATGCCATTTTACATTTCAATTATGTTTACTTATGTACAGATGTACTCCTCAAATCTAACTTGTTGTGTTTTAAATTTTATTTTATGTATTTTATATTTTATGTGTGCTTACTTGAATGATTTTAATGAAACGCACTTATTTTATTTTTTGTGTTTTAATTGTATATAATTTTTTCTATAGCTTTATTTTGTTGACTTTCTTAATGGTTAAATATATTTATAATACAATTATATATCAGATAACTAATTAAATAGAAATAAAAATTAATATAATAAAAAATAATAGAATTCTGATGTGACAAAATCTAAAAGAGTCTAAAGATTAGAGTAAGTTTTATGAAAGTTTGGAAAAGAATTTAAAATACTAAAATGCTGACGTAACAAAATCTAAATGAGTCTTGCATGGATTGATATTGATATATACTCCCTTTGTCTGGAAATATTCTTTCTGTTTGACTATTTTTGGTCAAAGTTTATAAACTTTAACTCTGATATGTAGAAAAAATACATTATATTATAATATAAGTTTAATATCAATATAATTTTATTCAAATGTAATTTTCAAGTATCATTTTTTATATAATATATCTATGTATAAATAAAAATATTCATAGTTAAAGTGCAATCTTAGAGACCGTGAAAAGTCAGATAAGAAGAACATTTCTGGAAGGACACCCAAACCCCAAATATATATGGATATTGAAAAATACCAAATCCAAACGTATGAATGGACTCCAATCCAAGTCGAACTCTTTGACAACTCTATTATACTCCTCTGTACTCCCTTCCCTTAACTTGCCCTCGCCAATCTCGTTAATACCCATTATATCCCAATCTCCCATCGAAAACCCAACTATCAAGGCAGAGAGGGAAGAAACCCAGACGTTCTTTCTCTTCCCCAATTCTTCACACCCACACACACCGCCATTATCTCCGTCGTTTTACCGGAGAGCTAATTCTTGTTTCCGGCACCAGTCGTTGATCGGAGGGTCAATCTTTCCCCAATCATGACCATGTTGAATCCGCAACCTTTAGATGTGAGTCTGTGTACCCCAATTCTTGAACTCGCATTCCATTATCGTCGCGCGTCATTATGTGCTATGTATTTTTCTCATAGATTCGTAGTTGGATTTGTTTCTCGGGGATACGTATACGTTCTTGCATGTGGTATTCGTCCACAGCGGTGGTGGCGGGGAGCGTTGATCGTATCGGCTAGGGTTTGGGTTAGGGAGACCGTCCCGTAGGCTTCTGATGTGGATTTAGTGTTGTCCGGAATTGAGTTCCGCAGTTCGGATTTTGGTATTTGCGGTTAGGTCTAGGGTTTACTGGATCACAGTGTCTGGATTTGCTTCAAAATTTTGGTGTTTACTCTGTCCTGATTTCGATAATTTCAACAGCAGGAAGAAGAGGAGATGCTGGTGCCACACTCTGATTTAGTTGAAGGGCCTCAACCGCTTGTAGAAGGTCCCCAGCCCATGGAAGGTTTGTTCTATTGTGTTTGAGAGTTTTGTATGCAGACACTTTGTATGCACGTGCCAAGCACTAATGCACACAGGCAATTCTCATATATGTTCCCTTTTCCTGATTTTCTATATGTTTCTTTAATCTATAGTCACACCAGCAGAGAATGCTACAGTGGAAAATCAAGCTGTGGATGAGCCTCAGCTTTCACGCTATACATGGAGAATTGATAATTTTTCCAGGCTGAATGTGAAGAAGCTGTATTCTGACCCTTTTACTGTTGGTGGTTACAAATGGTAATGGGCTATGAAACTTTGGGTCACTTATCATACTACCAACTTCTTGATTGTTTTGGCTAACATTGTTTCTGACAGGCGAGTGCTCATATTTCCTAAAGGAAACAATGTGGATTGCTTGTCTATGTACTTGGATGTGGCAGAATCAGTTAGTCTGCCATATGGGTGGTGTAGATATGCCCAGTTTAGCTTGGCTGTTGTGAATCAACTAAATCCCAAGTATACCGTCAAAAAGGGTATTCTCTTTGTGCTGTTGTGCCACATATATCCTGTATACTAAACCTTAATTTTCAATTAATTTCTGTGCTATGTACTTAGTCCTATTTTACTTGAGATGCACTTGTTTTTGTATTTGTATACTGTTTTGCAGTTTTAGATTTTATTTCCTTTGTCTCTGCTGATTGGTGTATACATTAGTCTTTGTACTCAGTGTTATGTACATTGTACACTGTCAGTATAATTACAATTTTACTGTGACTATTTTTTTTATGAATGCAAACCTTATGGAAAGGTTCGAATTCATAAGCTAGTGTACTAGTAAGAGATCTGGTGGCACAATTGTAATGTGATACAATATCAGCTAAGCTTGTGTAACACTTGCTGATAGAATAAGAGTCATAGATGTTTTTATCTTTACACTTTATGATAGTGAAAGTGTCTGATTCCACTACTAATGTGTAATCTATGCCTGTAAAGGTTCACCTACAGGTTTTTTGGTGAAATGTAGTAAGAGGTGGAAACCAGTTATTCTTCTTGCATTTTGAAAATCTTTTAAATGCATGTTAACTTCTACTCTCTTCCAGCATCGAGAAACATTGTTGTCCACTCTGCAATTGAAAAGTTTCCCATATGCATGAATAAATGGAAAACAAGATCAGGGCTTAGAATCCTTTGTTCAAATTGTTTCTCATCCAAATTATAAAATGGAATATTTTTTTTTCATTTTTCGTACTTAAAAATGTTGGAAAGCAATGCAATATGTATTTGGAGAAAAAGAGGTGAATCACCTCACTTTGGCAAACATTGCCTAACTTGGCATTTTCGTGGTTTTTTCGACTTTCTAAATTTTCTTTTAGTTTGCTAAATGAGAACTGTAGGAAGTTAATAAAGAATACAAAAAATGGAAAGCATTTTTATTACTAAACAAGGCCCATCCTTCACATTTGAAAATGGAGCTCTTAAATATTTTGCTCTGTTGTCACTTTTTTACACTTTATGTCTATGCGTGTTCCATTTATGCATAAACATAAAGTGTAACAACAAAGTGGAAGTGTGAGCATGGGACACTAACATCTATGCCTTCCACGGACTCTTATTTATTTATAGATTGATAATTCAAGCCTTCATCTTCTCACACAATCACCAGCTGTAGCCCCCACTCCTCGAGAATATAGAAGTTTGCATTTAATCATATTTTGGAATGGATTAGTAATGCAACAAATCTCTACATCTACCTGCCTTATGAATGCAATTGTATATTTCTTGTCAATTTGATGTCCCTTATTAAATTTGCAGAAACACAACACCAGTTTAACCAAAGAGAGAGTGATTGGGGGTTTACATCTTTCATGCATCTCAATGAGATCTATGACCCTAGCAAGGGTTATCTTGTGAATGATTCAATCGTGATTGAAGCTGATGTTGTAGTGCGGAAGGTGATTGATTATTGGACATATGACTCCAAAAAGGAGACTGGTTATGTTGGGCTCAAGAACCAGGGAGCAACTTGTTATATGAACTCTCTTCTTCAAACTCTATATCATATTCCTTACTTCCGTAAGGTCAGGATATGATTATAGTTATTTATCACTCTCTTGTCTTTCTCATGATATTTTAGAGTGGAGCACATCTAATGTGTTGATTGTAATCTGTCAGGCTGTTTATCACATGCCAACTACAGAGAATGATATGCCCTCTGGAAGCATTCCTTTGGCTCTGCAGAGTTTATTTTATAAGCTTCAGTATAGTGACACTAGTGTAGCAACAAAAGAATTGACAAAATCATTTGGATGGGACACATATGATTCTTTCATGCAGCATGATGTCCAAGAACTCAATAGAGTGTTGTGTGAAAAGCTTGAAGATAAGATGAAGGCATGATATTTCCTTTTTTAAATATGCTGGTCTGATTGTAAATGTTGTATCTAATATTAGGTGAATTACTCTATTGGTCCAGGGTACAGTTGTGGAAGGGACAATACAAAAGTTATTTGAAGGGCATCATATGAATTACATTGAGTGCATAAATGTGGACTTTAAATCCACAAGAAAAGAATCATTTTATGGTATGTAATTTCTTTTCCTCTGGACTTGGCTGCACAATCTGATTTAAATTATGAGTTGTATTGTATCCGCTTCTGCAGATCTTCAGCTTGATGTCAAGGGGTGTCGTGATGTATACGCTTCTTTTGACAAATATGTTGAAGTGGAACGACTTGAGGGTGATAACAAATACCATGCTGAAGAACATGGTTTGCAGGTACAGACTTGTTGAAGAATGGACTTAATGCATTTGGAAACATTGAGGGCCTGATAATGCAATCCACCCCACTTTCAATTTTTAAAATGGAAACCAAAGTGGTCTTTCTGACCCTACTTGATAATGGAATTTAGGGAACATAAAATAGCTGCTTTTCAGGAGCTTCCAAATGTTATTTATAAATAAGTTAATAAAGAAGACACACCACCCACAAAAGCACCCATATGTATGTGTATGAGCATATGCACTGTTAGGGGTGAAACGGGGGTCTTATCAAGTTGATAATTTAGTGGCGGATTTGCGGAGGAAAATGGAAGGGAAATAGTTGGCGAAAGTATGGAGGGTGTTTTAGGAGTTCTTTTTTGTATTTTATGGAAGAAAAGAATAGGATTAAGAAGGAGAAATGGAGGGATATGAAATGGAAGAAAAATCAGGGATGGATAAAATCAAGTTGGTGTTAAGAGATATTACACACTCTTATCCTAACTTGGGGTTTGAATCTAGAATTTAATTAAGATATGACACACTTAATCAAATATCTAGAACCTAAAACTCACACTTAAGATAACCACTCTTAAGATATAGAATTAGGGATTTGGCTAAAATAGCATCACACTATTTTATAAATACTCAAAGAGTAAAAGGAGTTTTAATATTCAAAAGATGTGTTACAATGGCCATAAGGCCTGAGTTATATAGGCAGGGGAAGGGGGAAATAATACACAATGCAATGAATGTGAACATGAGGAAGCTTCCTAGCAACATCCTCTCTCAAAGCATGGGGCATTCTTCATTCAAACCTGTCTCCTTAATGGGATAAAATTCAGGGATGGGGTTGGTGTTGTGGGGGTTTGTGTTTTGGTTCCTTGTGGTTGTTTCCTGGGTTTTTTGTGGCTATTATTTGGGTAAAATGGGGGGATGTTTTGGCCAATAAAAGGGGACAGGGCTGGGTATTATTTATGGGTGTTTTGGAGTTATGGCTTTGGGTTATTGTGAGGGAAACATGGGCAGGAAGTAGGGGTTGGAGGTGGGTCATGGTTTTGGCTCTTTGTGGGTGTTTATGTTGGGATTGTGAAGTGTGTTTTGGCCAGGGGGTGAATGGAATAAAGGGAGGGTTTTATTGGCTCAATAAAGGCTTTTAAAGAAGGAAAATAACAACAAACAAAAGGTTTTATTTTACACACTCTTATTTTCGGCCCGGGGCTAAAATAAGAGTAGGAAGAACTTTATTTTGGATATCAAAAGGAAATAAAATACTTTTGGATATTTGGGGTTGGGTTGGACGAAAAGAGGATTGGCCAGCGGAACCCCNTTTTGGCCAGGGGGTGAATGGAATAAAGGGAGGGTTTTATTGGCTCAATAAAGGCTTTTAAAGAAGGAAAATAACAACAAACAAAAGGTTTTATTTTACACACTCTTATTTTCGGCCCGGGGCTAAAATAAGAGTAGGAAGAACTTTATTTTGGATATCAAAAGGAAATAAAATACTTTTGGATATTTGGGGTTGGGTTGGACGAAAAGAGGATTGGCCAGCGGAACCCCAAGGTCAAAAACGAAAGCTATTTGGCCTTCCGGGTTAAAGGACTTTGAATTCTTACTAAAATGGATCATAATGTTTGAACTTAAGTCCTTTGGTTCCCATGGGAGTGTGGGACATGGGGGAGGGTAGGATAGGGCCGGGCCCAGATATAACATGCAATGCACGTGTGTTGCTTTCAAGCTAAGTTGCTCCCAAACTGGACGGGTACTCAAACGGGTGTGGGGTTGGGAACGGCGAGACCCCAATGTTTCAAAATTTTAAGAATATGGGTCTCGGGGTGTTCCCAGTTATCCGAACCAGGATGATATGGACGTTTCGGGGATGGAAAGTGCCACTTGAATCCGTGCAACATTTCTCCGATGTCATTGCTGCAGTCCCGCCTACTTGTTAGTTGTTACCCACTAGGTCACCTTTTCTACCCAACTATGTATCATTGCTACCACTATTACTAATATAATCCCACCCTTTCCCCCATCAAGATCTTCTCATCCATGCTAATGTGGTAAATTAGTAATATACTACCACTGCCAGTCATTTCCATTGCTTTCACCACTGAAATCTAATGCTCCCTACCTTACCTCCTTTATCTACCAAACTTTCTTTGATTCTTTCCCCCCATCAAGATCTTCCCATCCATGCTAATGTAGTAAACTAGTAATATTCTATCACTGCCAGTAACACCATTTCCATTGCTTTCATCACTTATATCTAATGCCCTTACCTTACCTCCTTTATCCACCAACCACATTCTTTTATCTATTTTTTCACTTCCATCTTATTTAGTTCTCCAATGGCAAGTAAAAACTTTGAAAGTGATAGACTAAGATGAAAAATAGAAAACTATATCTTTTACTCGGTATGCTCTTAACTGCTCAATGATTGTCATGAAGCTGTAAGCATTACTAATCTCATGAGCTGAACTGCTTCGTTGGGCAAGTAGTACATAGACATGATTTAGTGGCAAGGTAGGTTCAAGTGCCAGAATGATGCATTGCTTAATAAAGGACCTTAATTCTATTGTGGATCAACAAGATGGTGTTAATGAAGATTTATTGCTGCAGATGAGATTTATTTCATTGAAGGATAATGTTTGGGTACATGTGTGTGTGTGTGTGTGCCTAGGAGTTAAAAAACGGGGTAAACAACAATTTTTTTGATCTGTTAAGGCTCTTTAGCCAGAAGGGGACACTTGGTACACCGGTTGAGGTGTTGCCGTGCACGTCACAGGTTCGAGTCCTGAAAGGAACCTCTTGCAATAAATGTTGGGCAAGGTTCGTCTACATTACACCCTTGTGATGGGACCCTCTCATGACCTCCACACGCTTTGTGCACTAGGCTGCTCTTTGTGGCTATTTAGCTAAACAGGAATAGTGTTCTCGGGTGTTTGGGTGTTTGTAAGGCACAAGTGACAAATTTGGTCCAGATTCACTCTTCATGTTTTGATTGTTTCCTGGATTTCAGGATGCTAAGAAGGGCGTATTGTTCATCGATTTCCCCCCAGTTCTACAACTTCAGTTAAAGCGTTTTGAATATGATTTCATGCGAGATACTATGGTTAAGGTTAGTACCGGGAAACATAGTTACTTGCTCTTTTTCCACGATTTAGGTGTTTCTAGTCTAGTCTTTTATTTATATTTCGTATTTCATATTTAATGTTGTATAGCTTATAACTCACTAATATTGTAATATTTATGCCTTTAACACTTGAATCTGTATCATTAATGCATTTAATTTCTACTGGAATATGTACCATATCATGCTGCTTATATCATTTGCACGAGTACAAGCTTTATGGTCAATTATTGTCAACTAAATGTATCAAACCTTGAGTCCTTGACCAAAACTGTCGGGGAAGAAGGTTGTTTTCATATTTTTAAAAATTTTCTTTAGTCTTGTTTTGGAGTGTTCTGCTGCTACCACTGTTCTCACAATTTTCTGTACCATAAAGTCTCTTTTCTTTCATTAGGGTTGTTTATTCATTGCTTTTAATTCTTTGCTTGAGTGGCTTGTTAGGTTTTGTCAAAACATTTTCCTAATTCCCATGCCCTAGTGCCCCACTTCATTTATTGTAGCGATGAATGAAAATTCTCAGGAAGTGACAGCAATTGTGCAGAAACCTCCACATGACATGAATCGTGTTCATTATAAAGCACTCTGTCAATTTTGTTCTCACATGTTTGTGCAGATAAATGACCGCTATGAATTTCCTCTAGAGCTTGATCTTGATAGAGAGAATGGTAAATATTTGTCACCTGATGCTGATAGGAGTGTTCGCAACCTCTATACGCTTCATAGGTGATTCATTTTGTTTTTATTGAAAAGAGTAATTTATTCTTTGATATTAGAAACATGTGCATTTTACCAAGATGTTTTCGGAATGTATGTTACGTACTCTACGTGGAGACTTATTATTCCTCCAAAAAAGAGTACTACTCCCTGCATCTCACAATTGATTACACTCTTTGAACGGCGAACCAGGTGCAAAACCCCGAGTCTTTTAAATTTATGTTTTATACAAATTGGTATAGAAATAAAAAATTCAACTTGTATTAAAAAACTACGTCAAAAGTTCTACAAAACAAGTTGTGACAATTATTGGATGGAGATGGTATTTGAAAAAACTAATATTCATTGTATCTAATGTTTCTGATCTAATTTAAGTATCCCAAACAAATTTAATATGTCATATTTTGTTAATTCCACAAATAAAGTACAAAATATCATTGTTATTGATGATTTCCATTTTTTTCTCATTAAGTTCTTGAATGTATCCACGTTGGTTGTATGTACTTTTGAGATAATTAGATGCTCTATCATCTTTCTCCCTTTTTTATACAGTGTGTTGGTTCATAGTGGTGGTGTGCATGGTGGACACTATTATGCTTTCATCAGGCCTACACTATCTGATCAATGGTACACCTAGTTTAATGAACTGCACATTGTTGTAATTTTTTTGTTCCATTTCCGAAGTTTTTATGCACCATTCGTATCTGTTTTGTTGTTATCTGTTGGTTCTCTGTTAGGTACAAATTTGATGATGAACGAGTCACCAAGGAAGACTTGAAGAGAGCCTTAGAAGAACAGTATGGTGGAGAGGAAGAGGTGTTGCCCTCTTTTTCCCCCACTATATTTAAGTTCTATTTTTCTGTTTCAATATTCATTACTGGTGTCTAACTTACTTTTTTTCATTGAAATTAGTTACCCCAGACAAATCCCGGGTTCAACAACACTCCATTCAAGTTTACAAAATACTCAAATGCTTACATGCTTGTTTATATACGTGAAAGTGACAAGGACAAGATAATCTGTGATGTTGATGAGAAGGATATTGCAGAACATCTTAGGGTAGGTTCTACAGATTTGCTTATCTGATTTGATGGATTAATTTATTGTAATTCTTAATCCTGTTTACCTTGCTCCAGATAAGGTTGAAGAAAGAACAAGAAGAAAAGGAAGATAAGAGAAGATATAAGGCTCAAGCCCACCTGTATACTATTATCAAGGTTGTCTGAAATGAAAGTTGACACGTGTCCTGGAAAATTCTGGTTCCCCAAAAAACATTTCTAATAAACATGTTATACATGTAGGTTGCCCGTGATGTGGATCTTAGAGAACAGATAGGGAAGGAGATCTATTTTGATCTTATTGATCATGAAAAGGTTCATAGCTTCCGAATTCAGAAACAGACACCGTTTAACCTTTTCAAGGTATTTTCTAAGTGTTCAACAATTTTAATTTACAATTTATTTACTCTTGAAACTCGTGTTTTAGTATTGAATAATTGTAATCTTTAAATAAACTTTCTTGAGCCTAAGATCTTATCGTCTTGCTGTTGGAGTGCTTTCTCAAAAATTGCAACTGGATCTTAAATTGATGCTGATATTTTCCTTAACACTATGTTTGGTTTAAGGCATTTGAAAGGGAAAAGAAAAGAAAATGAAGTGGAAAACAGTTTTTCTTGTTTGGTTAGAAAGGAAAAGAAAGGAAAAGTTGAAGGAAAAGGAAATGAGAAGGCAAATGTACTAAGTGGAGGGAAAACCAAATTCCTCCCATTTTGGTGAGGAAAATGAGAGAAAATCATTTTCTTTTCTTTTCCTTCCAAATTCCTTGAACCAAACATAGTGTAAGTGTGCTATGAGAAATTCAAAAAGGTTATTCTGTCCATTGCTGACTTGAGTCTTTTAATCTCATGCCTCTCAAATTTAAAAAATTTCTAAGTGTGGCAACTGGAGACCTTTAAGTTTCAATTTGGAACCATTATTAAACAAAACTAAATTCCATGGAGAACAAAATGTGATTTACACATTGACCAAGTACATTTGAGTGTCTGCACAAGATGGATGGATTGATGTGTTAGAGAATAAAAGGTATTCATATTTATTGTTCATTACTCGTATAAATGCTAAAAATCACATGCCTGTACATTTACTTTATTTAAATGCGTACCAACCTAGTAAATACCACAGTATAAAGTGATGAAGTAACTATTCTAACCGCTACCCCCTCTAGTAGTGAAATCAGACAAAATTATGTGCCTTGTTCATTTTTTATTTATCTAGATTCTAGATGTGGAATTGTGAATTTACATCTGATAAATACCACAGTATAGAAGTGGTGAAGAAGTTACATGCTTTAAAGTCTAGAAAAAATTCTTAAATTTGAATTTCTTTTCATGTCACTATTTAAGGTCCTTTGAATTGTGAACTAGTATATGTGTTTACAGTTTTTCATCACAAGCTAGTGCACCAAGTACATTATTTCCAATTGTACTTTGTATGCTTTTTCATGGATGAGCTCTCTACGTGTGTATGCTATTATCATTCAAGCTATTAAACATGGATTGCAGGAGGAAGTTGCCAAGGAGTTTGGCATACCTGTACAGTTTCAACGTTTTTGGATTTGGGCAAAGCGGCAAAATCACACTTATCGTCCCAATCGCCCATTGACTCAACAAGAGGAATTGCAAACAGTGAGTNTGTTTACAGTTTTTCATCACAAGCTAGTGCACCAAGTACATTATTTCCAATTGTACTTTGTATGCTTTTTCATGGATGAGCTCTCTACGTGTGTATGCTATTATCATTCAAGCTATTAAACATGGATTGCAGGAGGAAGTTGCCAAGGAGTTTGGCATACCTGTACAGTTTCAACGTTTTTGGATTTGGGCAAAGCGGCAAAATCACACTTATCGTCCCAATCGCCCATTGACTCAACAAGAGGAATTGCAAACAGTGAGTTTCATTTTTTCCTGCTGGTGTGTGTGGGTGGGGGTGGGGTGGGGGTTTGCATTGTGTATTCTCTCTTACGTCACTAATTTTCTTTATATTTTTTATGTGTGCCTGTTTGCACGTGCTTTATTCATTGTTTTTATTCCATTGTGCATATTTATTGTATTTACGGAGTATTAGATAGTTGAACACATCCCATATGCTTTCTGGTTATTGTATACATATGATGTCTTTTTTTTTTGCTTTGCCAGTGAAATGAGAAAGCATGCCAGAAATACACAATGAATCACAATCAAAATTTTATTTTCCTGCCTTTGACATGCTCAATGCCTTTTGAAGTGGGATTGGTGTTTATTCTTTCTCTAAAACTTAAGTTGAGTTTTATGACTTACTCATCCGTTCTTAATTGCAGGTGGGGCAGTTGAGAGAAGTCTCTAACAAGACCAATGCTGCAGACCTGAAATTATTTTTGGAAGTGGAGTATGGACCGGTAACTCTTTCGATCATCTCAAACTGCTTCTATTTGTTTGTCTTCCCAACTATTTCTTACTCTCTTGTTACAATTTCAGGATCTACAACCTATGCCTCTACCTGAAAAAAGCAAAGAAGACATACTTCTTTTCTTCAAGCTCTATGATCCTGAAAAAGAAGAATTCCGGTAAGATGCCCTTTGCAAGGGAATACCAACTCAATCATTATCTTGTCGTAAGTTTTTTTTCCATATGTATACATGTGCACTGTATTTCCAGGTTTGTTGGTCGGTTTTTTGTGAAGAGTTCTAATAAACCAATCGAAATAGTGGCAAAACTGAATGATCTGGCTGGATTTGATCCTGATCAAGAAATTGATCTTTTTGAGGTCTGTATTTATATCACCCTCTTCTGTCTTGCTGTGATGATAACCACTTCATCATGATGTTTTTTGTATACATTAAAGTCTGCGTATACACCCTCCCGAAACTATACTTTTGGGATTCTACTGGGTTGTTGTAGGCAAAACAATGATCAGTTATATCATTGATTATTCATTTTTTCCTTTGTTTTTTCTGATTAGGAAATTAAATTTGAGCCAACTGTCATGTGTGAACGTCTTGATAAAAGGGCTTCATTTCGCTTCAGCCAGGCATGCACTTACCTTCCTTTATCCTTTGACATTTGATCCATAAGTCAATTTCCAATTATGAAGCTAGATTTGTTCATAATGTTTTCTGGCAGATCGAAGATGGTGATATTATATGCTTTCAAAAGCGATCTAGCACTGAGGTTGAGCACTTCAGATATCCGCTCGTCCCTGCTTTTCTGGAATATGTAAAAAATCGCCAGGTAAATCTGCACTACATTTCATGAATATATTACATATATGTTTGCTATGTGGGAAGTATCTTAAAATTTTTCTCCCAAAATTCTAAAGTTTGACTTTTGCTGTTCTTGTAACTCCGGGATATTCATTTTTAGTGTGTGTGCAAACACATCTACAATGTTATTGAGGGCCAGAACTGTCAGATTCATAATGTTTGAAAATTAAATAGTTTTGATGGGTTGCACTTTCTTTATGTTAAGTGGTAAGCTATATTAAAAAAAGTATATCAATTGTCATATTTGGAAATATACCTCTAACTAAATTGTTACTCGTATGCAGGTTGTGCATTTTCGGTCTCTTGAAAAACCAAAGGAGGATGATTTTTGTTTGGAGTTGTGAGTGCATTGAACCGATTTGTTAGATTTACGTGATTTATTGAGTTTGCTTTTGATTTTTTCACCTTTGCCATCATCATTGATTTGCAGAGCAAAAAATCACACTTACGATGATGTTGTTGAGAGAGTGGCTCAGCACCTTGGTTTGGATGATCCATCCAAAATTAGGCTTACTCCTCACAATTGCTATTCTCAGCAACCCAAGCCTAATCCTATCAAATTTAGAGGAGTTGATCATTTGGTGGACATGCTTATCCACTACAACCAGGTGCATAAAATTTCCGGCGCCATCATCTTTTAAATAAGAGAGGAAATTAAGGCATGGACCATGAAATTTGGCATTTTAAGTGGTTTCTATGATTTGCGGTGGGAGAATCGTTACTATGAAAACATTTGATACAAATGCGTTAACAATTTTCTTTTTACAGATTTCTGATATATTATATTATGAAGTTCTTGACATTCCACTGCCAGAGCTACAATGTCTTAAAACACTGAAAGTTGCATTTCATCAGGCCCTAAAGGACGAGGTGGCTCTAAAATGATTTATTTTTAGTTTTTTATTCAAACCAGGTGATGTGCTGTCTTATCATATTCATATGGGTTTCAGGTAGTAATTATCAATGTTAGGTTGCCCAAACAGAGTACGGTTGGTGACGTGCTTAATGATATTAAAACAAAGGTATCTATTCTGGGCTCTAGGCCTCTAGCACCATTTTTCCGGTTATCGGTGGGAGTTTGCTGTTTATTATTTTGATACTGAGATGAAATGTTTTGTTGCTAATATTTGATTCTGTGGAATATATATTTATACTGAGATAAAAATGGCAGTCTATAAAAACTTGTCACATAATACTGATACTATGGAATATACGTTGTATTCTTTTTTCCACTCCTTCCCACCCCAACTACTTGAGCTTCTCAATCATGATTTAGCAATGAAATTTTGCTCATTATGATACAATCACGTATTTCCCTACACCATGCCTCATTCTTTTCTGCCCCAGTTGCCGACCAACCTCTCTTTTCGTAAATAAAACAGAAATGAAAGAACTCAGGGTTTGTTTGGACGAAGAAAGAAAATGCAAAGAAGTATTATTGTTTGGATTGATAGAAAAGGAGAAAAAATAGAGATAAAAGAGATCGAAAAGATGGAAGAAGAGGAAACCAGTAATGGGACCCAAGCCGTTTTCTCTCCAATGTTGGAGAAAATCTTTTATGCGGGACCCACATTTATTTCTTTCCCCCTTCACTTTCTCTCTAAAACAAGCGATGGAAAATGCTCCGATTTGTGTGTATTCTTTCCTATCATTTTCTTTCACTCACTTTTCTCCAAACAGAGGTTAAATGTACTCGCTCCAAGTGCGTACCATTACATTTACATCTACATTTATGACTTTCTAGTAATGCCTTAATAATTTACAATGATGAATTTGTAGTTGTGGGTTTCAAAGGTAATTGTTTGTACTTGTGCACTGAAAACAGGTCGAGCTGTCTCATTCAAATGCCGAACTTAGATTGCTTGAAGTCTTCTATCACAAGATATATAAGGTGAGATGCTCAAGAGTTCACGTGCTAGCGTTTGTGTTTATAATGTATACCTAATTCACATTTCACTTGTGAGATTGTAGATCTTCCCATCCAATGAAAAAATTGAGAATATAAATGATCAGTATTGGACATTACGTGCGGAAGAGGTGAGCAGCTAGTTTCATAATATAAATGGTTGATATTTTTTTTCATGTAATACATTTCTCTGTATTATAATACTCCATCTACTCTTCATTTATATTGACAGATACCAGAAGAAGAAAAAAACATTGGTCCCCATGATCGCTTAATTCATGTTTACCATTTCACCAAAGAGACATCTCAGAATCAATTGGTATTTAACATATCCTCCGTAATATTTTTAGGTTGAGGCCGAATTCAGATGGTTCAAAAGTTGACATGTATCTTTTTCAATTTCCAACAGCAAGTTCAAAACTTCGGAGAACCTTTCTTTTTGGTTATTCACGAAGCCGAAACTTTAGCAGATATTAAAGCTCGCATTCAAAAAAAATTGCATGTTCCTGAGGAGGAATTCTCCAAGGTAAGTTGTTTTCGTTGTATGTGCTATTGCTTTGAATGATAATATCGCGATGGCCAACATCCACGGTAGTATATCATATACTGTTTAGGTAGATTACTGAATTGTAAAATGATTGTGATTCTAACTCCCTCTTTTTTTCGAATGCAGTGGAAGTTTGCATTTTTGTCACTGGGACGCCCAGAATATCTTCAGGATTCTGACATTGTTTCCAGTCGTTTTCAGGTAACCACGGTTTACTGCCGCTGTGTTATCTTCGTTGGTTGTTTTCTCCCTTCATTTATAAGCTTATTATTATTACCCGTATTATTTACCTTTTTTTCTCCTTCACAGAGACGAGATGTGTATGGTGCTTGGGAACAGTACCTTGGTCTTGAGCACTCTGATAATACACCAAAGAGAACTTATGCTGCTAGTCAGGTGAGGTTTATACGCACCATTTATAAATGATTTTAGTTAAAGCATGGTGTAAAGTAAGAAGGCATACTCTTAATTTTTTTATTTTTGTGTTTTTGCAGAATCGCCACACATATGAAAAGCCGGTTAAGATATACAATTAGAGACTCATTTGAAAGCAGCTCCAGGGACTCTCGTGTGACAATTCCAGGAGCTCAGCGACATGTATTGGGAAACTTGAGGCAGCAGGGGAACAGAAGAGGAGCCGTTTGCAGTAGTACTTTACTAGTTTCCCATTTCTGTTTTTTTTCTTCTTTTCATTGTAACATTCTTCATTCACTCTCTTTCTTTCTAGTGTTATTCTCAACCGACGACTGTCCCCACTAGCTAGCTCACTTTGTGTTGCGTTGATAGGCCTTTACATGAATCATTGGCGCGACGACGGGGAGCCTGGTTTCCCTCCTGCATGCATGCATGTATCCCTCGTCATATGACCGTTTTTTTTTCTTCCTGCGTTTCAGTGTGTGTATTCTTTGCAGCTGGTTGGTGGATCTGCTGTAGAGAGAGTGATGTGATGATGCCTTTGCATTGTAGTTTGTTGGTTCCTAGTCTTGTGCGCATAGAGAGAGATTTTGGTAGCAGCAAGCAAGAATGTATAGTAGTATAAAATTATAATTATATATACATAGTTGTTGCTTGGACTCGTTCTGGTGAACGCCCATGTTTTCAGGTTTTGAATTTCCCACTCTTGTTTTCCAATCAACAGCCCCATTTGCATTGGTGTGTTTGTTTTTATATATATATGCAAACAGTATTCTTCGACGGATGACAATCACAAATGTTCGTGCACAAACATGTGAGAGTTATTAGTGTTTATAGATGACTATTGTTGTGTATATGGAAGTCATTTGTGATTGTTATCTGTCAGGGCACCCATGGTGAGTTCCTAGCATTTTTGTTACTTGTACCAGTTGCATAACGGTTTTTGAGAAGATGACAGATAACAACCCAATTTAATTCCACAAGAGTAGGGCCTAGGGAGTGTGTGTGTGTGGACGCATATCTTACCGTATTCAGAAGTAGAGAAGTTGTTTTTAAAGAGACTTCTGGCTTAGCATTGAAAGTTGCATTGGTTGATTAATTATTACTCCGTATTTCATTAATTAAAAAAGCACAACAATATAAAGATTCATTTTGATTTATTCTATCATACCCCATACTTAAAAAAACAGTAATTTTTGGCTCCATTAGAAATGATAAAAAGTAGCAGTAACAAAGATGGGGTATTGAGTACAACTTACTTTTTGACAAAGCCAATTGTATTCAACCGACTTTTGCCGAAAAAACAGTGAAAATTAGACCCCCACAAGCCAGACTTTAAGGTGCTCTTAAGATCTATGATCAATTTATAGATTTTCATAATCGAGCTTATGAATTGTATCAATCTATAAATAGTATCAATTTAGAGATTTTCATACATTGATATCAATCCTTATTTTCCTAATATTACTTTGGGGGTGGTTTGTTCAGACAGTTGAATTTATATCAAATATTTTATAATAATTTTTTTTAAAAAAATTGGGTGATATTAGAACTTGTTCCCTCCATTCCAATTTATCTGGTTTTTTTATAGATATATTCATGTTTATTAAGAATGCATTAATTTTTTTAGTGTAGAGCCAAATTGCCCCTCTTATTTTTTTTTAGCATGGCCATATTGAAGTTGAAGGGATTCTGTTTAGAGTAAGAAAAAAAAGTTGAGGAGAAGAAGAGTTAGTTAGAGACGGTGGTGCAGAGGAGTAATCATTCCATGGTCCTGCCAATATAATTAGTGAATTATTGCCCTAGTTCAAATGGACAACGTTTTCAATTAGTTAAAATCATCGATTCGGCTCAGACTAATGGATAAATTAGTGAATTCATTGTGAGATCGCCCGGTCAATCAAATACTCCGTAACATTATTTTCACTTCGTTTAGAAATATTGAACAAATATTGAGTCAATTAATTAAAAATCGCGTTCTATATTAAATACAATAAAATAACTCTAACAATATATTACAAGATATGCTCCTTATACAAATACATTATTTTATAGTTACATGTAATACAATTCTTTTATTGACGACGAAAGTATCTAGGGTAACGGAGAGAGTACATTGTAGTGAATCACATGATTCGCTACAGGTAACCCTACAATTATATTTTACATATTGCAATATGTAATACAATTACATATTCTAGACCTTAAAAATATATGTGGTTATACCATTTCATTTTTATGACAAACAACACTCCATTTGTCCTAAAAGTGGGGTTCTAATTCATTTCAAGGAAAAAGTTGTGTCCATATTTTTTTTTTCATTTTTGCAAAAATCTCGACCATATAATTTTATTTTCTCTTAAACTCCGTGAAAAAGTAATTAGAAAATTGATTTCAAGACAGATGGAGTACCATTTAGTGCTCATGGGTGCACTCCAAAGTAGGTCGAACGTTTAGGGGTGTAGACCTTAGGTGCACCATAGCATTTGCCTATAAGTTTTACTCCTAGTTTAGTTATTTGTTTTCGTTTATTGTTTGTCCCGAAAAGAGTATCTTATCTCAAGGCTAGATGTTGAAAGAAACTGGAAGGAGTTGGAAAAAACTAGAAAGAGTTAGAAAATATTGGAAGAATTAAAGTGTAAAAAAGTTACTCAATTCAATGATCACCAAATAAATACGTTAGAAAACTCTAATTTTGAATAAAAAAGAATTCATTTTTTTTGTATTTGAGGTTACATGTTATAAATTTAGATATATAATGTTAAATCCTCTTTGTTGCCAGCATCTCCTCCGCCCTTCCATGCACATAGTGGTTTCTGTCTTCTTCTGAGGCCACCTAGCAAAGCTTTTGAGTCGGAGCGGCCTTAGGAAATTTTTGGCTAAGCTTCCTTGAAATGATCGAGGGTGATTTAAGGACCAAATGAGATTATTATCGGTGTATAGTAGGACCATATCAGGTCTCAAGGACCACTTTGGTCTCATCTTATACGGTTTAAGTCTTAATCTATCTCGATTTATTTTTTTCGGCCCATAACAAATAATCTAAGGAGGAAGGGAAAAGTTTTTGTTGGTTGGCCTGGTTCTATTGTTACCGGGCAATGGTGCCATGAGAGGTCTTACCCCCGAATCCCCCCTGAACCCCCACGCCAGCCCACCCCTGAATATTTAATTTTTAAAGAACAAAAACTTTAAAATTGTATATGTTATAAATAAAGATCAGAACGGATATTGATCACGTTCTAAATAGTACCGATCATCTCGAGGGCCTAACTCGATCAAATTCAGTGTCGTGTCCTTTTGCTCATCTCTAAGCGTGAGGAGGGGTTTCACCACCCTTCCCCCATAACACACACACACACATACACACATTGCCTCGTCACGTTGCCTGTTCGGGCTTAGCTTCCATCACCCAAGAGCCCTAATTCTTATAATTTTTAATTTTTTTGACCAATCAAAATAATTCAAACCTTCACTCACTAATTCACTTTTTTATCCGCTATCACACCCTCTTTTGAAGTCCACAACATATATATATATATATATATATATATATATATATATATATATATATATATATATATATATATATATATATATATATATTGCTCACACCCATCTACTTATGTGACATCTACATGAAATCCTTCACGCTCCAATCATAACATATGACGACGTTAATCTATATCTTTATTTTTAGTTAATAAATACCTCTAATGGGCAGTTTTTAGGACTACATTAGGACGGAAACATGATTGGTATAACGCAAATTGTTAATTTTATATGAAAAGAAAGTATTTAAAGGGATCATGATTCTTAAAACTATCTAATTCTGAGATATCAATTATCAAAAGTCCCCAATTAAAAATATCTCATTTTGGGAGATATCAATTTAAATCATGTTTAAACAAGACTTGCATTTAAATCAATTTTAGAAGATATCAATTTAAATTACATTGAAACAAGACTTCTATCAGGACATATTCAGTAGTGGTTGAGAACAGAGAAAATTCTTATGTGGCATAGAGGAAAGTGAAGGGAAAGACTGAAGCGGGGAAGGGAAAAGAGGAGAGGGTGTGGAAGTGGGGAAAGTAGCCTCCCCAAAGAGACTAACATTATGCTTGGTTCAAGGAATTTGAAAGGGAAAAAAAAATTGAATTGGAAAACAATATTTCATGTTTGGTTGGAGAGGAAAAATGGAAGAAAAAGAAAATGAGAAGACAAATGTACTAACTGGAGGTAAAACCAAAATCCTCTCATTTTGGTGAGGAAAATGAGAGAAAATCATTTGCTTTTCTTTTTCTTCCAAAATCCTTGAACCAAACATAGTGTAAAAGAAAAGAATGAAAGAAAAAGAAAGAGAAGAGAAGAGAAAAAAGAGAGAGAAGAAAAGTTAAAATTAAGAAAAATAAAAGGAAGATAAAAAACAATTTTAAACGACCGTAGGATTTTTTATATATTTTTTACTCAGTCTAATTATTTGTGGTAGATTTTTCATTACAATTAAAAAGCATGTTCTTTAAATTTCACTTGCTTAAAAGAAATAAAGAATCTTATAAAGAATATTTTTTCGTCTTAATATTAGATTCAATATTTGTAGATGGTGTATTAAACTTAAACTCTTAGCACACCATCTTTTTTTTTAATATAAACATGCTCACCATTGAACTTTGTTGGGGAAAAATCATACGGAGTAAGTTTTATGTATATTTGAAAACAAAAAATAATAATACTCCTTAATACTCTTAAATCATTGCAAAATACGAAGGGTTATGTTACATTAATACATAACCCTGTATAAAATTTCTAAATGTTTCATGAGTTGCGCAAAAATTCATACACAAGTTTCCAAAAATAAGTGCAATGATCAAAATCTTTTCCAAAATATTCAAAAGTTTCTCTTTTCCGAAACTGGAAATAAGAAAGAAATTTACCAAACATGTATTGTTCTTTTTTGTTTCCAAAACTTGTAAGAAAACAGAGGGGAACTGTTATCAACTTCACATCCTTTGCAAAACTTAAAGACTAAAATATTACTCAAAATAGAGGTTGAAGGCAAGGAAAAATGACAAGTCAAAATTTAAAAAAACACTTGTTATTATGTTTTTCTCCTTTTTGGGTATCACAATGAAGCTTAATGAAACTATCATAATTAATGAAGCTTGAAGAAACTCAGAACAGGTATAAAAATACTACTATAAAAGAACCATACCCAAGCCAAGAAGAATGATAAAATGTGTTTGAGGGTTCCCATTATTGAAAAGAAAAGAGAAAATTCAGACTTAGAACTTTGAAGACCCATCCCTTATTCTTGATGGATCTTCATCGCCAAGCCTACGTTTAAGTCTAGTAAAACAGCAACAGCTTTTGCTATCATACAGTTGCAAAAGGAGAATGGAAAGGAGCTAATAATCCAGCAGAATGGAATACATACATTTATAACTGCCTCTTCATAAAACACCTGCTGACACCATTTAGCTCACAGTTCTGCCATAGCAAACCGAATCGATATACAGATTTCTGGACCACTTCTCCTGATAAATAAATAAATAAAATAGATTATCCCGGTCATTATAAATGGAGAGAAAAATAATTATTGCATGATACGGAGAATATTTTAGCTTCAGACAAAGAATGGACTAGACCAGATGACACTAAACTGGGAAAATGGATTATAATTGACTTAAAATGGGATGGGTACAGAGCATTGTTTGGGTCTCTAATCCACCCACATTGGTGGGTGTCTTAATTGATGTTTTTCTTTTTCTTGAATTGAGCCCACTTCATTATGGGACATTTAGGCAACAGCTTTAGCATTTTGAAAACACTATATAATGACAATGTTTAGCTTTAGCATTTCCAAACTTAATCTGAACCATTAAAAAACTATCCAAAATGCTAACACTAATTGGAAATGTTGTCCCCAAACAAGGTCTATATCTATGATATATCTGACCCAGGTGTTAGGCCCCACTCAGCCGCCACCTAAAGCCTAGTATTTTTTAAGAACATTGCTTTGAATCCCCTATAAGAGTGGTAGCATTTTGAAGCTCTAATTCATCTTCCTCTTAGGGACCTTGCATAATGCCTGGCCTAAAAGAGAGAGCTTAACATATGGTATGTGACAAAAGAGAGTGAAATCACAATTTCAGTGGATAACATAGGGAGTTTTCTTTTTCATCACGTAGCCGACTCCGATGGTTTGAGGGTTATTTGTTGAAATTATTATGGACACACTTTTCTAATTCACCAAGTGCTTTTCCATTTACTCCAATAATTTTAAAAATTCATGTGTGCATGTCATGATAGCCTGAAACTTCTAAGTTCTAATGGGAACAGACGATGTTCACAGAGGACAAGAGACAATATAGGTGGGTAAAACGAGAAATGTAAAATAATACTACTCGGAAGATGTTGTTTTGGGTTGGACCACATGGAAAGTAAGGCACTAAAGAATGAGAGATATAGAGCAACAAATATGCATTTGGGTAGCCGATAAAAATGAGGTATAGGTAAACAGCTGACTGTAGTAAGTATTACCTTTATATGAGTAGATGGAAAAGCTGAGGTGCGCAGGGTCTCCTGACCCTCTTCAACTGACTTATATCTTAGTGTGCTCATAATAAAGGCAGCTTGATCAGGCGTAGCAGCCATGGATGTTATTCTGTAACCAGTCTCCCACCGTCTGTGAATTCCATCACTTGGGTAAAGAAAATCAATCTCTACAACCTGTAAAAGCCCAGGATAAAAATCAAGACACTTTTTAGTTTAGAGTTTGATTTTAGTTTAGAGCTTGTCAACTCCGTCCATTGCCATTGAAGCTAAAATGGTCATTATTGACAATGTTTTTTTTCAACCACATAATGGACTTTATTAAAATGATGTTTTTTGTAAAGTTTTGTGGGCATTCAATGCAACAATGCATGTAAGGTCTAACAGGAACAACCACTCTGTTTTTACAAGGGTAAGAAAGCATACATCTTGACCCACAGACCCCACTGACTTGGAATTGTACTAGGTTGTTGTTGTTGAGGAATGACAGAGTAGCATAGAATTTAAAATAAATGACTTGACAAAACTTCCTTGTTTACCTGGTCATAATATCCAGCATTTCTGGACATCACCACGCACCAACGACTGCCGGCAGTGGCCATGGATGTGACAAAGAAACCTTCTTTCCACTTTTTGTTTATCCATTTGAACGGAAACGAATCACTCACTTTGTAAGACTGCTGAGTATAGGGAGTTCCTGAACAATTTAGGATAGGACAAAAGGAATTAGGAGATTGCTGGCAAGGCTGGAAAAAAAATACATTGTTTGTATAAAGCAATTATTTCCATTAAACTTATTCTAAATTTCTAATTTATGAGATACTTAGGTGTCCTGGCACTATTGAAAATTTTCTTTGTAGTTATAGTTTCTCGCATGTGCATCTTTCCAACAGATGTATATGAATTGAATATTTGGGCTATTTTAGCAAGTTGTGTTTTGGAGGGGAAGAAGGGGAGTTGTTTAAAAACAAATTTATATATATGACAAATGATACAGAGTATTAAATAAATGACTAGACCATTGGATTTATACAAATTTATCAATTTTATATATGAGTAATTGTTCTAAACTATTGCCAAGTTAGGGAAAAATTAAAAGGGTGGTGCTAAATCCACACCCCTTTGGTTAAATCCAATCCCTTCATGATAAATGGCCAAATCAATCTTAAAAAGCTAGTGTGCGTCTTCTCTTTCCTTTTTTTACAGAGTTGACCGTGTGTGTGCAAGAGAAAGGCGCGTGGGAGTCTACTAAGGAGGCCAATGACATGGGGGCGCCTGCCAATTGCATCCGGGAAGTCGCCATAGAATTGTTGGGTGTGAGTTGTGGTTCGGGGAGTAGACACAAGGGTGATGAGTTGTGGAGAGATATGTTAGAAGGTGGAAGCTAAGAAGGTGGCGTATTTGAGGTACGTGGACGATAGGGATGAGGAGGATAGAGCGGCTCCACGAGCGGAGTATAAGACTGCTGCCTATAAGAAAATTAAGTTAGATTTTACGAGGTCTAAGAATGCAGTTTTTGAACACCTCTATACAGGCATAGAGGAGCAGGGCGGTGATAAGCAACTTTTCCGGCTAGCTAAGGCACGTGAGAGGAAGGCCCGGGATCTAAACCATGTGAGACGCATGCAGGTTGGTGGAGTGCTGTTTGAGATTGCAGAGGTGGCAAAGCAATGGGGGGAGTACTTTCGTGGCCTCTTAAATGAGGGAGGTGACCCAAGGCTAGAACTAGGTGAGCTGGGACAGTTCAAGGCGTTTCGTGACTTTGGGTATTGCCAGTGCATAAGTGAGGAGGAGGAGGTGGCTCGGCAAATCTGAGGAATGTGTAATGGGAGAGCATTGGGGCCAAATGAGATTCTGGTGGATCTTTAAAGCACGTGGGTCGCAGTGGGTTGGTATGGATAACCAAACCCTTCAATGTTATTTTTTGGACGGCTAAGATGCTAGACAAGTGGAGGGAGAGCGTGTTGGTCCCTCTGTTTAAAAATAAGGGTGACACTCAGAGTTGCGAGAATTACAGAGACATCAAATTGCTTAGCCACACCATGAAGATTTGGGAGCGAGTCATTGAGTATACACTGCGGAAGGGGATGTGCATTTCTAAGGACCAGTTTGGATTCATGCCTGGCAGATCGACCAAGAGACCATTCATCTCATACGGAGGTTGATGGAAGAGTATAAGGCTAAGAACAAGGATCTTCACATGCTGTTTATTGATCTTCTGAAGGCATACGAAAAAGTGTGAAGAGAGGTCTTGTGGGGGGTGACTTGTGACTTGAGTCAAGAGGAGTTCCGATTGCTTACATCCATGCGGTTAGGGATGACAGGGCGATGACCAGGGTAAAGACTGTCGGGGTGACTCTGAGCCTTTCTCCGTAGAGGTGGCGTAGAGGTGGGGTTGCACCAAGCGTCTGCCTTTAGCCCATTCATTCTTGTTTGCCTTGGTGATGGACGTCCTGACGCGGGGAGTTCAGGGAGAAGTATCGTGGTGCATTCTCTTTGTTGATGATATTGTGCTTATCGACGAAACACAATAAGTTAGAACTTTGGCGCCTGAATCCAAAGGCCAAGACTAAATACATAGAATGTTGTTTCAGTGGTTGGGATTTGGAACCGGGGTGAAAGTTAGGATTGACTCTCACCTAGTGCCTAAGCTAGACAAGTTTCACTATCTTGGCTTGGTCATTCAAGCAAATGCAAAGTTGGACTTGGATGTTGCGCATTGTGTTGGAGCGGCTTGGGCTAAGTGGAGGTTGGCTTGTGCGATAAGATCTCGGCTAGGATGAGAGGTAAGTTTATTGGTTCGTAGTCAAATTGTATGGGGTCTGTTAGAGTGTCATCCCACATCGGAAATTCAAGAGCAAAATAATCGGTATATAAGCTCTTGAGTTGAACTAAGTAATTGATTGGATTCAATCTTTTAATGTTGTTCAGCTCAAGTGTCTTATTACCCAATCCAGTGATCCCTACCCCATCCTAAATTCTATCATGGTATCGGAGCAGGTTTTGGCCCACCTCGTTTGTCAAGGTGCCCGTCTAGACGTTCATTCCTAGCGGCCCGTTTGTCTTTAACCCAGTTGTCTGTATGGAGTATGTACCCAACGGCTTGTGGCCCGTTTAACACGATTGTTCGTCTGGAAGTCCATACCCAACGGCTCGTGGTCTTAGGTGTTGGCGCTCAAAAAAAAAAATTCAAGGGAATGGGAGTTTAATTGCAAGTGGTCAACCGGTTCGATTCAAAATGGCCCGGTTGTCCACTTGAGGGGGAGTGTTAGAGTGTCATCCCACATCGGAAATTCAAGAGCAAAATAATCGATATATAAGCTCTTGAGTTGAACTAAGTAATCGATTGGATTCAATCTTTTAATGTTGTTCAGCTCAAGTGTCTTATTACCCAATCCAGTGATCCCTACCCCATCCTAAATTCTATCAGGGTCGTTGGGCGATTAAGAAAACCCACGGCCGTGGCCAGCATGCTGCGGAGATACGGATGTTACGGTAGATGTGAGGGCACACGAGGATGGATAGGATTCCGAAGAAGGTTATTCGAGGTCGGGTAGGTATGGCACCTGTGAATCTGTGATAGATAAGCTGCGGGAAGCTAGGTTGAGGTGATTTGGGCATGTGAGACGGTGAAATTTGATGGCCCACTGTGGAAATGCGAGTGGCTTACTATTGGACTATTGATAAGATGAAGTATGATCAGCAAAATTGCAGGGGCAGTTTTGTCACATCTTCAGAGAAGGAAATAGGTCTGCATTTTTTTTTTGAGTGGCTACATTGAAATACAACTTGGCCTGTTTGACAATACTGAGCTGGAAGATTTTCTGGCAATCCTATTCTTAATAACATCATTGATTTTGATAAGAGAGAATAGCCTTGCTTTGGTTTTCAATAATGGAGTTCGGTAGATTGATGGACTTGTAGAAGAGTTTTTAGCTCAAGCTCATTAGTTCTGAGCTGAAAAGTGATGTCTCACGAAGCGAGATCCATGAAACTGTCTCATGCAAATGCTGTTGTCAAAATCTATAGGCATGATGCAAGAATAATAGAACAGAGGGATTTCTTAAAAAACATTGTTTGAAAAAAAATTACAAAATAAAAATAATAAAAAGTCAGCAGGGCAGTTTTAACTTTTAACTTGATCTTAAATTCTTGCATCTAAAAGAAAACACGTAGACTACATGTTTAACTGGTTGAGCTGAACCGTTTGTGGGAAACAATAGTATTTATGATATTCCTTAATTGAGGTTGATTAAACTCAAGATTATAAATGGAAAAAGTATTACGTAATATCAACTATTATTTTAATATCAACTGTCTAGTTGTCCCGTCATGTGTCCCCTATTTAGTATTATTTACATTAATAAAGCAATATTTCAATACATTCACTTTGGTACAAATAGAGTAATATTAGATTTCGTTTCTGTTTTAGGTAAATTACATCTTACCGCTGCTACCTTACTAGTATAAGATGGTTCATTGCCATATCAAAATCACAATAACACGAGTTCTTACCATAAACCATTATCTGTAAACTGACATTTAATAGTGTGTTAATTAGAGTAGTTCCAAAGATTAAGACCACATCTTTCATGATAAAGATCATTCCTAACTCTAGGTATTGAATGTATAATAAATGGTAGGAAAGATGGTGGTTATATGTGTTACCTAATATGCATTCACATGGTTATACGTCAAAATAAATTTATTTGTTAGTGTACCATCGGTGTGTTGTGTCCTGTTTTCAAGATAAATGCCGTGCAAGTTGTTTTGTCTTATCACATTAATGTTTGATCTTCATGATTCTAGGTATTCTGTGATTAACAAAAAGTTGGGGTTTTGGTTCCTTTACAAATATGGCAACATTATATATATACAAAAGAATCCAGCTAACAGCTGCATGATTACACCTAAAATAAACATGGTTTCTCTTTTGTGCCCAATTCTCTTCATAATATTTGTGAGATACTTGTGTTTATGATGTGTTATCTACATTTTCTTGGATTGATACATTTAAAAATTAAATCGAGAAGATAATTTTGGTTTGTTTAATGCGTTGTGTAATCCATCACTCAATCAAAGTGGTGCATGTTACTTTCCAAGGTAAAAGGGAGATTTCAAGAGATTAACAAACTCACAAAGGTACCTAAAATGTATGGTATAATTTTACAATTAGGCAAGCTATTTTGTAACTTTTTTTTAATAATAAACTGCATCAATAGGCAAGTAGAAGTTCTTTAATATCCAACCTTTAGACATAACAATCAAGGAATGCCCGTTATCCGCACCAGCTAAGGAGGTAATGTAGAAGTTCTTTTCCCATTGCTCCATTATCCAATCCTGAAAGTAGTCCAAGACAAAAGGGTATCAGTGATCTTGAAAAACATGGCTGCGAACAATAGCAGCAAAATAAGCTGGTAATTAGTTTATAAATTGACCTTCTGAAGGAAGCCATCTGAAATCTCAAAACACTGTGAAGAAAAACCTGTCCCTGCATCCATGACTATGGCCCAAAGGTTTCCTCCAGAAGCCACAGAGCTGATATACAAACCGTCTGCCTTACCCTTCTCCACATGCTGCAAGATTCTTGGCTCTGCAACATTGAAGTGATACCTAGAATCCAACCAAGTAATTCTTATGACCTAATGATGAATACCTTGAGTCTCGGGCACGTAATGAAGTAAAATGAACAACATTCTCTTTGGGGATAAATTTAAGGTTTGAATCGAATAAGATATCCTTGTGATAAATTGGACAAAGATGCATGACATTAATCATTAATATGTGTTATGAAGCAGTTCCCCACCAGTGGGACTCTACTGGGTAGGTTGTTGTTGTATGGAGTAGTTGCCAAGGAACAACTAGATATTTTTTGGCATCTAAGTTTGGTTAAGTTCAAATACATCATTAATGAAGCTAAATAATAAAAACATTGAAAGTAAATAATTAAAAGGTTAAAAATGTTTTTGGTCCCTATAAAAATAGAAAATTTTGTTTTTTGGTCCATCAAATTTTTTTAATTAAATATCCCTGTAAAAATATTATTACTACTGCAACAAATAGTCCTCCCCCAAATCAAAAATATGTTTTAATCCCTATAATATTTATAAATTTTATTTTTGGTCCCTTTAAAATTCTTTTGGTTCATTCATCCCTACTTGTAAGTTATTAAATATTGTATACGATTAACTCATTACACATGTAATTAAGCATAAATTAGCACGGAGTAATTGAGTCGTAGAAAAGTGTTAAAGGGTGAAAAAAATTTAGTTTTGCTTTTTGTAAATGAGAAAAAAATTATATTGTAGGCTACATGATTTTTCTAAATTTTTTTTAGAATGAAAAAAAAAAGTGAACACATTTTTGTGTTACTAAATTTAAGTTGAAAATAGTCCATCCAACTATTTTCTATATAACTTGATGCCATTTTCTAAAACGTACCACCTTCATATTTAAGATTGCTTCTCAGATGCTTTAACTTTCTCCAGTGACATGCACATATGCATGCATGCAATTGTGTACCCTTGGTCTAAGCAATAAAAGCATATTTTTGGAACTTTTTTTGGATCACTAGCATTGGTTTGGAACTTTATTTATTATATGCACTTTTAAGGAGTCACAAAAGAATATTAAATATAGAGAATTATGAATTTATAAGATCTCGGATTGACCTCATCGATTGGATTCAATCTTTGAATGTGTTTTAACAAAGTACGTTATGACCCATTTAATTGATCATAGCTAATCCTGAATTCTATCATGAACCAATAACCATGAAAAGCAAAGTGAAAGGTATTCAAGCCTACATGCTCATTGTATGTGCCTTCATACATGCTTTATCCTGCAACTTTTAGGTAATAGGAAAAATTAAGTCCTAAATGACTTCTTTCAAATCAGGAGCTCCTTGGATGCCATATTATGATATAATATTATTCAAAAAAATTGAATCTTGGCATTGATGGCAGTGTTAAAGATGCAAACACAAAGAATAATTTAAATGTCAAAAAACAAAGCAATTGAAACATGATGCTTCTTAAGCATCACTTGCAACAATTTACAGGAATTTCGTACTCAGAAAATGATTTCCATGATTGAACATCTAAGAATTTACCTCTGCTTCATTGGGTGTCGTGCATTGTAAACTGAAATCCATTGTGTTGCAGGATTACCAAGTCGTACTTTCTTCCTTGGTTGCTCATCTTCCTCTAAGTTTAGGGTCAACCTTACCCTCTTCTGCCAAACCTGACCACGACAAAGTGATAAAGAAAGCCGGTAGGATTTTTAAAAAAAAAACATTGGTGCAAATGATCAGATACAGGTAAGGCAGGTGAACCTTGAGAGCTCCATCGATTTTTATTGGCCTCAGAGAAGCGCATGGCTCAACAACGGTATCAAAGAAGGTTATAAGCTTTACATAATCTGGCTCCTCATCAAACTTCATGTTTATTACAGCCTCAAAAAATTGCTGGAATGGAGCAGGACAGAAGCACCGCATCAACTCTGGCGAAATGGCCATCTTCTTTTTACAAACAAGAAAGTTCTTGTTGTCACCCTGCTACATTAAAGAAATAGTCAGTGGAAAAACATTCAAAGGAAAATAAGAAGAGAGAGAACTCAAAAGAATTACTCTCTGTCCTACAAAAAGATCTTGTTCCAAGAGCTTTTTGTCCCAAAAGAACAGTGTGATTTTAAAAGCTTGTATCTTGAACATTGATTGAAAAGAGTTGACTTTGTGCTTTTTAAGATGAGTTGAAAAGGTTAGAATTTTACGAAAATACCCGTAACAAAATTGGGTGGAGTATATTAAATGAGGTGGGTGAGGTGTTATAAATAGAGTATGTGGGGTATTTGGGGTATTTGAAGTGTTAAAAAAGGTAATGGGAAGATATTTCCCGGACAAACAAAAAGGGCATTTGGGAAGATCTACGGCGGACGGAAAGAGTAACTTTAATTAAGTAATTTTCCGTAAAAGCCAACCGGAGAATCTTGGAATATTTTTTGAAAAAGCTTGTACCTTGAACCTTAATTGAGTTTACTTTAAATAAAATTGTACATAACTCAAACATGACTTTTTTTGGAGAGAGAATATAAATCTTTATCATCCAAGACAAGCACTTGAAAAGAAAAAGTCTTATTCAAGCAGATATCAGCAGACCTGACAGCCCTGCCATGGCAGCCTTCCCTTCATGAGGAATATCAGTGTGTATGCTAGAGACTCGAGGTCATCCCTTCGACTTCCAGTACGACCCAAGTGTGCATGTACGCTTGCATATCTAAGTGTACCCCTATCAACAGTAAACAATAGAAATAGGTTAGGGCATATTCGCTAGGAAAAAAATATCACCATGTCAACTTTTACAAACCTAAATATATCAGGTCGCTGGTCATATTCAACATGTTCACCGGATGCTAAGTCTTTCCATCTAGTTGCTGAAAAAAGGGATAAAACAGAAAAAGAGTACCATTTGTCTGTCAATCAAGGGAAGCAACTATAGCAAGTTACTCCAGAGCAATAAGATGAACAAAAACTTCAAAATCATGTCTCAAGAAGTCCAGTGCAAAATAAACAAAGCTGAACACCAAGAAGAACATAAGGTACTTAAAATTGAGAGTATATCAATAAATTCATCCTACCCAAACCAAGATCAACAAGATACAGCTTCTTTTCATCAACAGTTCCTGGCTGTCCAAGCAAAAAATTCTCTGGCTTGACATCACCGTGCACAAAGCTTAATGTAGGAATCAGGAAAAAGGCAAAAAGTAAGTAATAACAACACCAAATAACAACACCTTTGAAATGCTGAGAGAATACAGAATAATTTTTGTGCACGAAAATGTTAAAATGACAAATTCATTGCGGGAATCAAAGGTCAAAAAACATACCCCTTCAAGTGAAGCTTTTCAAGAATTGAAATTGCCTCCATTGCAATACAGCCCACCATACTTGGTGGCATCCTGTGGTATGCAATAATCATCAAAAATGGCATATATGCTGGTTATGCTAGGTAGATCCCAACATGCTTCTTCCTCTTTTTTTTTAACATCAGGTGACGGATAATGCATGTATACACGAATCAGTGTGCATCAGAAAAACAGAGAGGGAAAGAATTATCTTACGATTGTCCAGAAGTATTCCATACATCCCAAAGGCTTGGTCCAAGCATGTCCATAACCTTAAATGTGATATTTAGCAAACACTAAAACAAGAGACAATAAGATTTCACATACAAGTAGTATATAATAACACTTACCATAACATAAAATTCTCCCTGACGCCCCTTGTAGTGAACCCATGGAATTCCATAGCACCCATTCACATTGCTTTTCAAAGCAAATTCAAACATTGATCATGAATACATCCTTTGCATATTATAATGGAAAAAAACAGTGATGCAAATCTTCAGATCCTGAAGCTATGGTCGACACTTACTCATACACTTGCCATTCATTGGGAGGGCTGTAGTTGCAGCCCTTACTGTTTTGGTGTTCAAATTTTATTGCAACCTAAAAAACACCAATGATGTAATATATTCCATTATTCCATGCAAGTAAATAGAATCTGACATGCAGTAATGGTGTTTGTGAGAAAAGAACCTGGACAGCATCTGGTCCCAGCCTGCCGATTCCCCCGCTAACTCTCCTACCAGCATAGACTTGCCCAAAACCACCTTTGCCCAACTTCTTTTCAGTTATATATACAGGAGAATAGGCCACTTGCACCTACATCCAGTCAAATAAACACTTTTTGAAGCTATAAACGAACAATGCAGGGAATGACAGCGACTTTCACACCATGACACTGACGCACAGGATATCAGATACCCCTTAAAATTCAATTCATATTTTCTATGAGCTAAAAAAGGAGAAAATTAGAATAATGGAAAGAAATCTTGTAGAACATAACATGGTGTGTGGATCACAAAATTTATAAATATAACTGTGTTTCAGCAGAAACAGGGAAACTGGAGTAAGAAACAAACAGGAAGGTACCCTCTGAGGAACGGGAGTTGTGTTGGCTTCTTCAGCTCCCATTATTTTATCTGCACTACGACCAGCTTTGGCTACATCTTTGTCTCCTGGACCTTCTATTTTATTAAAAGCCGGATCTACTAAATCAGGGTCAAACGTTTGAGGAAAAACTTGACAAGGCGGCGCAAGACACAGTTCTATTGATCTAACAGCATTCGCTCTACGCGCACCGACTGGTCTCCCACGAGCTCCTGTTGAAGGCCCTTTTGCTACAGCTGCTACATTACTCCTTCCCCGTCCCCTTCCTCTTCCACCTCCCACTCTTCTTCTGGTTCCATTCTGGGTTGGAATTGTCATATCGTCTTCTTGTGCATTAGTTTGATGGGCAGGCTGGAGCTGGATATCACCAAGCCGCTTTGATCTCCGCAACCCAGTGGGTGTTTCTGGCATCATTCCCCTTTAGCAAATAAAGCTCCAGTCCTGTAGCAAATCAAGATGTTTGTATCTGCACAAACTCACATAAAAATAACGATCTTTCCAACAACAACTACACAAATTCAAAGAGCATATCAGCAAAGGTCAAAAATAACAAAATGTATGCTAGGGCATGGTCAGAATTTGAAATTTAATGGAATGGGCTTTTAATATTAATACTTCCACATATAGGAACCCAGATCCCAATTGATAGAATTCCCTAAAAAAGCTCTTTGTACTGGAGAACAATGAAATGCATGTGGAAATTGTTGCTTCAACCCTGGTACATTTCCTCAAATGGGAGTGACACAAACAGAAAATTTATCAAAAAACTCAAAAGAACAAACCCATCATTTCATTTTCAAAATCTTTCCCCTCCATTTTTTTCAAGAATACCAGTTAACCCCATGAATGACTAAATTCAATCCAGAATTCAAAAACAGAAGCTCTTACTCTACAAATGCCAAAAACTGTCAATGCCTCTTTTGCAACCTAAAGAGGAACAGACAGATTTGAAGAAGAAAAAGAATTGAACCCAAATCCAAATATAGAAATTCAATCAGATGAAGAATCCAAGGTAAGTAGAGCCAGATTGAGCAGAAAAGGAAATTCCATTAAACAGTTACCAAAACACAAAAAAAAAAGAAAAGAAAAAAAACAAAGACAAAACATGTGAACCAAAATGTAATACCTCATAAACAGCCAATTCAAGGAGCCCTCTGTTAGGTGACGATGTAAAAGCCGGAATATAGGGATAGAGAAACGTTACGCTCTGTACAAATTGGGAATCGGCGAAGAGAGACTCTTCTTTGTCCTCTCATTTGGATACGTATGAAGCAACCCATATATGATGAATATGAATATAATAGATAGATATAGAGAGAAGAAGAAGAAGAAAGAATTGAAGAATTTATGAAATCTTTTATGAAAGATTGCTGTAATCAGACAATGTGTATCGGCGGCGTGTGCTGGCTGCCCTTTGGGTGTGCTGACGTCATGCTTAAAATAAAAACAGTTTCTTTGTTTGTTTAAAATAAGGAAAATGCCATGTGTACCCCGGTTTTGTACACCAGGGGTACACCATATAAAAGGCCAACCCCCTACCCCCATATCCCTCTCACCCACCCAGTCTCTTCTCTCTCTCTGTCTATTCCGATCAATTACACCAAGCCCCCCTCTTCTTCTCGGGAGCCCTCTTCTTCGCCGGTCAACGATTCTGCACCCATTCTCCGTCTCACTCCCGTACCCAAAAGCTCCAGCCTTCATAGCTTTTCTCATCCTCGCATAGTCGCATCTGCCCTGTTCATCTTCCTCTTCCACCATCTTCATCTTCCTTTTTCATTTGCGACGTCACTCCAAATGGCCTTCAACTTTACACTTCCGTTCCGGTAAATCAAATTTTTATTTGGTTTTTGACATAAATCAAATTTAATTTTGTTCATTGCTAGATCTAATTTTTTTCATTGTTGGTGGAAAATTTGATTTTCCAATTCGATTAGACAAAAATCAAATTTGATTTTTAGTTCACAGATCTGATTTTATTGCTGCATTTTCCCAATTTCAGTTTTGGGAATTTTTCATGTTTATGACGAAATGTCTGTGTACTGTTTGTTATTGGTGAAAAATGTTCGTATTTTATTTAAAATTTGCTCAATTTCATAAATTGCTTTGAAATGTCTATGATGTACTTCTTGTTGGCACAAAATGTCTGTACTCTAAGAAAAAACTTGCTTTGATTNAAACTGCTTCTTATTGGATCTTTTATTCATTGTCTTGATAGCTACATATACATTGCTTTTTACATGTATTTGAAAGATATGTCAACTCAATGATAGTCAATGTCTCAAGGTATTTAATTAAATTTTTAAAACTTATAAATTAAGAACATACTCTAATGGTGGAAGATTTTGTATGTTACATTTGCAATGCCGATTGTACAATTATTTTCCTTTTGTTATAATTTGTTTTCACTGGTAACTTGTAGAGGGTTAGGTGTTTGTTATTTTTAAGGGCTTTGATTTAGTTCACTCATCTCCTCTTGTATTTTTAATTTTGATAAAAAATGTTTTTGTTGCATTAATCTCTTTGAATACAACACTCACCGACAATTAGTGTTTATGGTTTAGCATTCACAAACAATAAATGTCTATGAATGTCGCAGCTTACTCCTCCAGCTATTGTGTCTACTCAGATTGCACATGAATCCCATGAGAGTGCAATTGGAAAAAAATGGCATCAGACTTGGAGTATCACTTTGACTACACCAAATCCTTCTTAAAGTTTGGTTAGGAGGTACTAGAAATATAAGATAAATCATATTTACTCATGTATCAATGTAATTGAATAAATTTTCCTTGTTTATATTGGGGTTAAGAATGTGTTTTTGCAAGGTATTGTCGAAGAACTGTCGTCCACATATATTAAATGAATTATATTCTATTTTTGTTTAAACTCCTTATTTTAACTAAGATGACAAACCATTTTGTTTGTATCTTGTCTGTGATATTACCTTTACCTTTACAGTTTGTGCAAACAAATGACTCATTAATTTTATTATTTTTTAATTACTTTTGTATATTATTTGTGCAGGTTATCAGTGACATATAGGTGATTTAATAGCAAGCCTTTATATTTCAACACATATAATTAGGGAACAATTGTATGAGAGGATCATATATATCGAATTGTAAAACTCTTATTAACTTTTTAATAGTGAAAAGTATTAGTAGAATTTAATATATTTACAAGGTGCTTGTAATTTGTATTGAGTTTTTGTACTTGGTAAATTGTACTATATGATTCACACAAAAAAGATACTCCATTAGTCCATTTTATTTCAATGTTCTGTTTTTGAAGTTGTAATAATTGGGGAGGCTTAAACGTTGCGTTAGTATTAAAAAAAAGTGTTGCAAAAATTGAAAAGAAAGATGTCATATGTTAACTCTTTCACTACTTTTGAAAATTGTTGCATAGACAAAAGTGTATGCAATTCATTAGAAATAGATATTTATTGTCTATTTAACCTGTGTAAAAATTAAATGCGTCAAATATACCAAATAATGGAGCATAAAGAATATTTCATTATTTTCTCCAGACTATAAAAAAGCTTTAATTATCACTTTCTACTTAAATAGACATTCAATATATGAAATTCTTGATAAATCAAGAACATTCTATAAATTTACACCACGATCTCTGTCAAAATCTACAGCTCCAACTACGTTGTTGAAGACAAAAATGATTGAGATGGCGATCTGGGAGGAAAGGGCGATTACGGGTGATGGGTGTATTTCACCCAAGACCGGTCAAATGATAGGACCGGATAGTTGACCGGTCAAAGAGGTCAAACTCAGGAGAGAGATCTGAATCGTCTGCAAATGGGCGACCGATTGACCGAGAAGTTGACCGGTATACTTAGGATAGTACACCGGTCAGATTACCCCATCATCAGGAACCAATTCCGAAGTCGTTTAATCCAACCTTCAGGAATCAACCGGTGCGACTTTTAGAAGTGTCGGCAGGAGGAGTCCAAAGGGACTTGGACTGTAGTGGTTGGAATTGCAGAAGGAACATTTCCAAGCCAGAACGCGACAAAGGCGTAGCCCCCCACGCAAGAGGACAAGGCAGCTCAGCAGTCACCTCCCACCTCCGGCAGCGTGATCCCACGTGGGTGCACGTGGTCTTGTCCCCCTTTAGCCTAGTATAAATACGCATGTAAACCTCAAGAAGAGGGATCCGAATTCACTCTCTCTAAACTCCCTTGTAAAAGTGACCGTGCATTCTCTGTTTTAATATAATTCGGGCTACAGGTGTTCCACCTAAAGTCCTACCGGTCATTCTGAGTGTTTTTACTTTCTTTACTTTACTGAATCGTGCCAACTATTCTAGACCCGGTCTAGTATAGTTTGACCGGTCAAGTAATTTACACCATCAACGGGGAAGCCGGTGGCGGCAAAGAAATTGAACGTGTGCTTCGTCGTCCTTCTCCAATCCAAATCTCGCTTTTGTTCTCCATCTAACTAATATATGAATATTGCACTTGCCAAATATACCAAATAATACAATAATAAGAATACATCATGTTTTTTTCTTATATTGTAAAAATAAACTAAGTACGGAGTATGTTTTGGTCACATAGACAACAAGCGTCTGTAATTCATTGTAAACAGAAACTTATTGTCTGTAAAACCTAAATACAAATTTACATCTGTCAAATATACCAAATAATGTTATCATAAAGAATGTTTCACAATTTTCTCTAGATTGTAAAAAAGAAAAAAATTATAATTACCACTGTTTACTTACACAAACACTAAATATCTATAATTCTTGATACACAGACATTTATTATTTGTGTAATTGAGATAAAAATTTCACCCTTNAAATTTTTTTATGTTTAAAAAAAATGAAAATTTACAATCAATACAGTTTAGTCACACAGACACTAAAACTCTTTATTTTCTTGAACACAGACATTTACTATTTGTGTAATCTGAATCAAAATAGACATTTACTCTCTGTGAAAATATATTTCACAGACAACGAATGTCTGTAGCATCATTATTTATTCTCTTCCACAACTATTCAAAATTAGCGCAACCTTGTTCAATTTTTTTATTTAATAGATCCTCAAACACTTTTAAAAAACAAAAATCTTACAAAATAGCAAATATTCAATATCTATGCAACTTCATTGTAAAAATTCTATGAGATAGTTTCTCACAAACACCATATACCTGTGTGGTTCTTAAAATAATGAAATATCATTATTTCACAAAAATATTAAATCAGACTCCAAGAAGTCACAAATAAACATCTAAGACCAACAATAATTATAATAAGAAGTTTTTACACGGATTTGATTTGAACAAATCAAAAGATTGAGGTGTTGATGGTGACGGGGAAGGAGCAGACGACGACGGAGTTGATGCAGCACGGCGATGGGTAAGGTGGTGGTGGCAACCACAGGGAAGAGACCGCCGGCGGAGGAGATGACGCAGCCCTAGGAAATCGATGCTTTTGGTCGAAGAAGAGACTGACGGTTGCTTCTCATCTCTAGTGGTCTATTTTGTGGTGGAAAAGAAAAAGGGGGGGAGGGGGGAGGGGGTATATGGGGTACAAGCTGGGGTACACATGTGGTGTACCCCTAGCACATCCGTTAAAATAAATTTTACTCCGTATTTGTATACTCCCTCCGTCCCCAATTTGATTACAAATTGCGGGTTATGGAGTAAAATTTCTTACTTTTTGAAATCATTTTATTTACAAATTGGCATATCAATAAGATATAAAAATTACATATTAAAAAACTACGTCAAAAGTTCTACAAAATAAGAGCTGACAAGAATATTTTATTTTATCAAATACTTAATGAAATCGCGTAAACAAACAAAAGTTATCGAGAGGAGAGAGAAAAAAAATTGTAATCTATTTAGGGACGGAGGGAGTATTTTACTTCTTCCCTCGAAAAAAATTGAATTTTTCTTCTTGTTAATTTATATAGTTAGTTAATTATTTACTGGGTATTTATCTTTTTTGGGTTCTACCATTGCAGTGTGTAGAAGAGAGGTTGAAGAAGCCATTGATGGATGAGTGTGGATGACAACCAAATTCATTCGCCTTTCGTCTCGCCCAGCACTTCCCAATAATTAGCTTTGACTTCTCGTATTTCATTTTCAAGTACTCCAAACACAATTTGTATGGTTATTTGATTAAAGAAACAATAGCTTCTCCCCCATTTTCTTTGGGTTTCTCTCTTTAATTAACTATAATCATTCCTAAAAAAAAATATAAACAAGTTTTCTCAACAAAAAAAACTATAAACTTCATTTTTAAAAGCAAAATTTACTGCTAGTAATTTAAATTTGGACAGTCTTTCAGAAATAATATTAAATCTAATATTGCCAGAAATAATTATTTGTAACATAATATTGACTAATGCAATCTCATATATTGATCAAGCTTTCTTTTGTCATTTATGCGCTTGAAAGCGTGATAATGTGGGTGTACCACTCTCCCTTGGTCAGAACACTGTAGAAATAATGTATTAGGAAAAAGAATGAGAAAATTAAATATTTAATTCGAAATGATAAACTTATCTTGTGTTACATCACAAAGTACGTTCCTTCTTGAATGTGTTTGATGATGCGAGACTATAACTTACGACGATTCCTCTACATCTCTATTCATAATATCCATCACAAAATAAATATTGTAATAAAATTTTGTTAGCTCTAAAAACATTGAATATAGCACATTAAGAATTTTTTAAACATAAATATAAATTTTGTCCAAAATAACATTACAATTTTTTTAATTATTCACTACGAATTTTATTTTGTATAAAGTACAATTTTCTACGATACTTAACTAATATCATTTTCATGCAACGGCACATCAACTCTTTTTCATACTTTTTTCACAATTTACTAAAAACTTTGAATTACAAAATCTTTTCTAGAACGAAAATGTAAATGGTATTTTCGATAATAGACTATAAATTTTTCTTGTCAGAATGATACAACAAAAACTTTGAAATTGACACACTAATAGTTATTATTCAAAAATCTTACAATTTTATCGGATAAGTTTTCACAAATTTTTTCTATTATTTTTATTTTTTATTTGGCCTGTTGTTTTCTATTATTTGGTGTTGTTGTTTTGTTTAAATCAATGGAAATATATCGTGTAGTTGTAATATCCATCATAATTTAATTTTTTTGGCTCTAAGAATTTAAATATCACATCCCTTTAGAATTTTTTTAAATATAAATATGCAATTAGTCCAAAATAGCATAACAAATTTTTTTTCAATTATTCACTACGAACTTTAACTTGTATACAATACAATATTTTATGATAATACACTATTATTTTTTTATGAAACATAATAGTTCCTTGAATGAATAATTCCTTGAATAGAACTCATTTCTCCTCCCTCGATGAACTATCTTAATATGTCTCAAGTGGGCAAACCCGTGTCTTTTTTTACTTTAGATTTTAGAATTCTGATCAGCCTTTCAAATTTCGAGTGCTTAATTAGCGAATGCCGCAGAATGCAATAACCTCTTTACACTTGAGAAAAAGGAGGAGCATCATCCCCGAGAGCCTCCTCAGACATGGTTGGACGGTCACTGGAGGCAAATTAGACTTTGATCGCACAATGATGGTAAATAATGAAGTTTGCATCTGATACTTGTAGATGTCCTATGCTTAACATAATTGTCACCCAACGCAGTTGCCAAGAATCGATCTCGAATCTTACTCTCTTGGCACTCTTTGGCTTTGCCAACTACGCAATGCCCACCGGCACTCTAGCTCTTGAGAAAGTTCAACATAAATTAGCTCTTAAAAATGTTGAGTCACATCCCACCATAAGAGCACCAAGGGACCCTTTAAAAAGAAAACCGTCGGTGAGCGTAGCTCAAATGGTTAAATTCTATTACTATATTTGAAAAAATGTACTCCTCCTTACCAATATTTTGTCTATGTTTTTATCTCTTTAATTATCTTTCTTATTACTAATAATTTTTTATACCATATTTATTACACCCTGATTCATGTGACATCGTCTAACAATGTCATAGCATGATCTGAGGCACCTACGATGTCTCGTTTGAAAAAATCAACTGTTCATATCCTTCCTAACTCCCAGGCAACCCCCCCCACCTCACCCCGACTGAAACCCCACCTCACCGCGAACTGAACCCCCCATCAATTGCACCCTACAAGTATATTTGACTTTATAATCAAAAATTTGACTCCAAAGTGAAATAAACTTGGAAGGTGAAATTGAAAGGGGTAGGGGTGGGTTCGGATCAAGGCAGAGTGCGGGGATTTGCCAGGGGGTTAAGAGGAATAAGAATTGTCAATTTTACAAATGGAGCACCGTAACGCACCAGGTCATCCCATGATATTGATAATCAATGTCACGGGTACCGCAACTATATGACTTTATCCCAACTTATATTTGTGTGGTGCACGTTCCTTTTTACTTTATCATACTTTTTATTTTTAATACGGAGTATTAATATAACTTAATCTCGGGTATTTATGTGTGACTATGTGTGACTAATATTATTATTGATTACTCGGGTATTTCATAATTTTTAGGTACTCCATGAAAAAGAAATACTCGAGATAATTAAAAAAATACTCTTGAACAATTAGGTCAACTTGAACCAAATACTCCGTAGTAATTCTTTTATATCCAAAGTCATATAATCCAACTCGATTTACAAGCCCAGATCAATTTTTTTTATCCAAACTCATACCGTCCAACTCGACTTACAAGCCCACACGCACACAAAGAACTAAAAAGACTCAAGAGAGCACGTTTTATGTTAAAACGACTTGCTAAGTGAAAACTTATCTTCAACTTATTTTTTTAAGTATTTTTTTATTACTTATTCTTATTGAAATCAAATCAAGTCAGATTAGAAAAAACTTTAAATATAACTACAATCAAATCAAATTATATTATAATTTAATCGAATCAAAACCAATAGATAAATTGAAGAGAACAAGGTTATAGTCCATTACAGCTCAACACATGGAAGAAAGATACTAGCACCCAAAAAATCCTTGATGAGAGGTTAGATGCATACCGCCTAGCCCCTAAGTTAAAAACATAGAGCATTCGTTTTCAAATGAAGCACGAACTTACAGAAACATATTCTGACGTACCTCAAGGTCAAAAAATAGTGAATTTTGGCTTCATAGGAGATGGTGGGAAAATCATAATCAAAATCAAAATGATTTGGGGAAATTGGTAACAATGGAACAAATGTGTATATAAAGGGAACAACATATGGGGCTCACTCCATGCAAAAACTAAGGTGACAAAGAGAACATGCTTAGAATAGCAAATGATGCCCTAAAGAAAAAGGTGTTTTATCATAAGTCATAACATAAAATACAAGCACAAGTGACCGATGCCAATAGACCCATCAATAGGATTGTATCCCAACAAACAAATATGGAGTACATAATTAAACCGCAAAGCATCATATTTGAACAAAGACTTACACAGCAGTACAAATAGTTGGGCTAGGTTTACGAGCATAAATTGTCAAGAAATATCCTAGCAGTTGCAGAAAGAGAAGAAGAATAGAAGAAACATCTCTACAGATCACTCAATCTTTATATGGGTTTGAAATAATCGAACTAGGAGTACAAGTAGATCTTCACCTGCTTTACAGACAAGATTAACACAAAGCTGATCCCAGAATTTGAGTGAGCAATAAATGGAAAGACACTGAGATGGAGCAGATATCATGTCTCCCGCGGTGTCTTGTTAATTAGCTCCATTTCTGCCTTGCATCTGTCCTTGAGATCAGTTAGAGAGAGCAAACTAGATTCCTGTCAGTCATAAAATGCATCCTTAGCCCAAGAGATTAGATATTTCACATTCTGAAATACAGAGTAGCAAATAGATAGATCGATTATTAGTTTGTTGTTAGGTCATGCCTGACCTTCTATGTGGATGCTTTATCTAGTTATCTGTGTTGGTTTCTTTCATGGTACATTGAAATGTTCTATGTTAATAAAAATGGATTTCTTTGTCATGTATTTGACAATTTCTAGAATTAATGTTTCTGGATTCCCAACCCCAGAATATGACATAAAGCTAAACACTGAGTTATGTATATATTGTATGTATATGGAGTTACATAGTTCCCAACCCCATGTTTAGAATAAATAAACTATGATTGAATAGGCACAGCACACATTCTCCGCCAGTATACTAGTTTCTTTACTGTAATGTGATAGTGATTCTACTAACCAACTCATTAGTACTGATGATAATTAGTGTTGAAGGAGTTAGGCACACATAGGGTGTTTAGTGGCACCTAGTTCGCTTAGAAATGCCCACCTGGAAATGCATTGGTCTAACGATGTTAGGTACCATGGTGCCACTAGGATGATTTTTACATGGGTGAACACCAGGTCAGTGTTTAAACCAATATGCAGATAGCACTTACAGTTAGACTCATTATGTACTACAGCCATGCAAAAACATTATGTAGAACATTACGGGGAAGAACATTATGTGAATGATGAATATTCGAGATTTCAACAGCCATGCTCAAATGCCCAACCGTAATTCAAGGAAACTGAGAAAGGTCAAATAGGAAAGAAAATGGTTTGCTCACAAGTTGATTGCTTTCGCACTCGAATATGTTCTCCATGTGCAAGAAAAGAGACCTCCACTGATTCCATAAACTTGATTCCAGGTTAGGCGAATCAGTTTTGTGTGTTGAACCATGTCTCTGAGGTGCATTGGCTTTGGAACTTCTTTCAGCTAAAATGCTTGCTTCTTTCTGACTCTTCTTTAATGCTAATATGATTGCAGTAGTAATTTCATAAAAAGACAAAATTCCAATAACGAAGTCGCAACTTCAATGTATCAATAGCATATATAGAATATTTAACAAATTTTTGAAGCAACTCACCAGCTATTCGGCCTTTTGTGTCTTGGTAGTGGAGGTCTAACCAAATATAAGCAGCTATAGAAAAAACATACAAGCATCACTTGATCACTTCATGTGCATATATAATCAGAAAAAATGCCACAGCAATTATGAACAAGGTTCTGAAGTAGTCAAGTTTTATCAAGCATTGAGAGCAAGAATACATGGATGATATCAGCTCCTTACCTTTGGTGCAAAAAGTGCAAGAGCAAGACTTTATTGACTCAATGCCAGTAACTGGATCAGAGTAACCATCACCCTCTTGTAGTCTAGTGCATTTATCAGGCTCAACTCTTGACTCCTGTGAGTCTGGAAATCTTGAATGGTCAATTGAGCCCGACTGACTGATTACCAGATTTTCAGCCCCATGCTCATCAGCTTCGTTCTGGCACTCGTTAGTTTCACTTTCAGTTCTTTCTGAACTGACTGCTATGTCTTCACAAGCTTTATCAAGAGCATGACACTCTAAACCCAACACACTTGTCCCCGAGGTGACAGCTACATAGCCTTTACTTAAGCTCTCAATACTATTCTTGGTAGTTGTATCATATTTACCAAGATGAGAAGTATCATGATTGTTGTTTTCAGTGAGGCTCTTTGAACTATCAAAAATGGATTTTTTTGTCAAAGGATTGTTTTCACCAGATCTTTGAGGTGACAGACAAGCTCTCTTTACACTTTGTCCATCATCTCCAAATACATGCTTAGATGCTAAATTCACCCCTTCTGTAATGGCACCTCTTTTACCAGAACTTCCCAAAACAGAAGATAAACTCCTTTTGCCCAGCTGATTTGTTATGTCCCCAAAAACAGGACGTGACTTTCCACATCCATCAGAAAGTTCTTCTCCCATCATCAACTCTACCTGATGGAAAAAATTATCACAGTTACAAATCTAATATTATAGTTAAAGTGTACAACTATTCTCACCAAAATGCCCCAGTTTGACATTCCAGCATTTTCCTTGATTGCCACAGATTCCGACTGGGCAACAACCCACATTACTAAACTTTTGTCTTTAGGCAAGTCCCTTCTCTCTAGCAGTCAGTACATCTTTGTAATTAAATAAATCCATAATCCCAATGAGAGTTAATTTCAACTCCATTCCCTCCACTACCCACACATGCATCTAGTTCTTGCATAACTGCTAAATGATATAACAACAAACTTAGAGCCTTTTTTATTTCTCCCCAAACAGAAAACCTCTATTATTCTTTTCACAAACAAAACCATTTAGTTTTCTCGAAAACAGCAAAAGTTTCTAAAAGTGAAGCCCGAATATTTAGATCTGCTTGAATTAATTGCTATTGGACAAGGTAACTTATAAAATTGTAAACTTCAGTTCATGTTTCAACCGTGTCAGTCTAGAACATGTTGAAATAAAAGGTATTACAGAGATTTCTGTTCAACTTTAGAATTTCATGCTTTTTTGTGTGTGTGGGGAGTCCATACTCTTGGGTTTGTTGTTGTAATAAACTAATACTGAGATTGAAAAAACCTCCACAAATTATAGACTATGAATAATAAAATTAAGATTGAAGAAATGTGTTTTAGATGAACTGAACATGTTGGGGTCTAGCGGCATGATAGTGAGTCTCTCATATGGGAGGTCACAGGTTCGATCCACACTGGGGGGAAATAACTCTACATGCTTAATGGGTTGAGAATGTATGAACATATAGTACATTATACATAATAGAGTTATTAGTGTTCAAAAAAATGTTAACTACCCACTGAGATTTCTCTAAATGAACTTAAAGTTATAACAAGTAAAATGCAAGAAAACTCTGAAACTTATTGGCATATTTCAGATTTTGGTTTCTCAGCCTCTTGATCACAATCAAAGCACTAGTCTGCACACATGTCTTCAAACACTAATGATGTTTGGAACTAGGACAGTGCTATGGAAAGGAGAAGCATTGTCATGGAAAATAGTTTTAAATGTTTTGTTGCACCTTATAAAATATTAAGGTAAGTCAATTTACTGAATTTTAAAAATCCCATTGTATATATGCTTATCTAAATTTTTACGAAGCGAGGTTTTTAGAGCAACGAGGCAAGGCGAGTCGCCAATGGACCTTCACACCGCCTAAGCGGCAGTGATAAATATATACATGCATGCATGTATATTATAAAGAAACTTATAAAGCATACGAGTACATTATATGACGCACACTTTTTTACTCCCTCAGTCCTAAAACATTCTTCCTGCTTCGGTTTACGAGGTTTCACCGACTTTATTTTCAAGAGGTGACAAGACTACTTTTTTATGAAATAACTAACGAAAATAGGTAAAGGAAATGATTAAAGTTTGACCATGTGAATAGTAACTAGAAAAAACATTTTAGGACGGAGGGAGTAAATATAAAGTACAACACAATCAACAAAATGTAACATGCCAAACCAAACTCTTAAACCTAATGCAAGATATTAAGGAAAGAAGGATAAGCATTTGACAACAATTAAAAACATCCCACATAACAAAATAAGTGAAAATAAAAGTTCAATCTCCAAGCTAAATGATTCAAATGGGCAAATACATAATAAAATAAATGAAATAAAAGTTTAACTTCCAGGCTTTATGACTCAAATAGCCTTGCTTCGGGATACTTAGAAGGATCATAAGCACTTCCACTAGCCTCTATCATAAAGCGACCTAAAAAATATTCACTTAAAAATAGAACATTAAAGCAAAAAAACTGGAAATTATTTATATCAAATATGAGTCCAGAAATAAAATAACATATTGAGATAAAACATAACAAACTGGAATGAAAACCAAACAAAAAATAATACTCCATAATAAGCATCGAAATTGCAATGAGAAACATGCCCAGGGAGAAACAACACACGCAACACACGGACTGGGAGATCAATGCACCTAGATGAGTGACTGAGATAAATGAACCTGCTGAGGACTTTAGATGAATCGTTAGATGAATCGTCAGCTGGCAGAGATGTGAAGGGGCGGACACGGGAAATTCATAAAGTGGGGTCACAAAATAATCAAAAACATATAAAAGAAACTAAAATGATAAATTCCATAGGATAAAATTTAGCAAATTAACGAACTTATATTTGTCAAATGTGGCATGGGATCTTCTGTTCCAAATTTCATGTCCAATCCCCAGTCTTACCCCTATATGAATGCCACCTCACATAAAAACTCTCTTTGTTTTTCGGTTCAGGTATGTGTTAGAGTAGGAGCAAATAATTCCAAACGCAATTCAATGATCACTCCCTCACCACTCTTGATCTTTTCATCTTCTTTTTTAATTTATCCTAGATTATTTTTCAATTTTAAAGATTTCTGTTGTTCGCATTTTTTAAAATACTCCATAAGTTGCAATCCACAAATTTTTAGATTTTTAATCTTTATGATAAAATGAATAAATTATTTTAACAAGATAACAGAAGTTTGATAAAGATACAAATAATAAGTTTATGTTGCAATTAGCAAAGTTTGACTAAATTTATTTTCATTTCCTTTTTTACTGTATTTAAATATTAATGAAAAATAAAGTATATTCTCCATATATATTTAAAAATTATAGCAACAAACAATCTACAACAATGAGATAAAAACTAAGATGTGTTTTGACAATATTGCTGGAAGTCTTTGCAAATTCTTGAAAATCTTTTGGAAGATAAATCTAATTAAATCATGTTTGGTATTTGTTGAAAGTCTTTTACAAAAAATCATTTAACAAATTATTGAAAATTTGTTAAAATAATAAATAAAACTTCACAAAAAGTTCTGTTAATTATTTGTTAACATAATATTATCCAACCACATCTTATTTCATAGCTTGTAAATTTTTTGCTATAGTTTTAAAATATATATTGAAAATAAACTTTAGTTTTCATCAATGAAAGTTTAGTATTTAAATAAGGGTGTCGCTAAATGCTCACTAACCCTCACTTCTTTTGGCTACATCAACACCTTTTATCATGAATGGATAAATTTAACCTTAAAGTGTTAAAAAACAAAACGAGAATATGTGAATTAGTTTAAAGGTAAACCTGCCAATGTATTATAAGTGTGCTTCTATGGTGGACCTAAGGTCCAGACAATACTGTTGTTGGATTCTACTGGGTTTGAATTGCTTCTCACATAATAGGCATTTTTTATTTCTTTTTTTACAAAAAAAAAAGGCTTATGATTTGTGGACCTTAGGTCCACCATAAATGTGGTTGATTTAGTCAAATGAGGTGTGGATTTAGCACAACCCTTTAAATAAAAGGAAATAAAAATAAATTCAGTCACGCCTTGTTAATCGCAACATAAACTTCTTTTGTTGTTTTATCAAACTGTTTTGTCTTATTAAAATATTCTAATCATGTTTATCAAAGAGGTTGAGTTGGTCATAATTTAATTGCATTTGGATTGATATGCTCATACCCTAACACATTTAGGAATTGAAAAAAGAGTTTTTATGTGAGGTGGCATTCGTATAGGGGTCGGACAGGAAATTTGGGACAGGGGGCCTCATAAGGTCAAATGTGGCAAATGATTACTGTGTACCAAGGCAACTCAAACTCTTAATTAACTTTATTAGCTTTGTGTTAACATTGAGAAATTTTACTAATTCTACTGGAACTGTTTGAAGAAATTCGAACAAGAAACCTGAAAATCAATATACCGGAATCTGAGCAACAAGAGCGAAAATCAATCGCACATAAATAAAATCGCACAGTCAGAAATTACAAAAAAAAAAAAAAAAAAAAAAATCGGAGTGATAAAGTGATAAAACCCTAACCTGAGTGTCGATCAAGCAGAGGAATCAATCGAACCTCGTTCCTCGTTGTTCGACGCAGATCAGTCGCACTGTTGATCCTCTTCCTTTGACCTGCGAGCTTCGTTCGCTCTCGCCGAAGGAATGCAGAGATGTCGCGGATATATTACTCTCCGCAAATTTAGCGGACAAGGAAAGTGATTCGAATGGAAAAAGTGCCTAGTAAGCGGGGGGCGATTTGCCTGTTGGGTTGGGTTGGGTATTTACAACCTTGAATGAGGATGGCCCTGAAAGTCATAGACAAAGGGCAGAAAGGGAACATATTAAAACACCCAAAAAAGGCGTTCGTTTTGGTTCTATGCACAACACATCTAAAACGATGTCGTTTTGAAGATTCTTTTAAAAAAAATCAAAGTGATGGTTGTGTTCATCGATGATATCCTATTTGTAGATCAATTTGTAGTTGTGTTCATCGATGATATCCTATTGTATTTAAAGATTCAAGATAATTATGTAAAATATTTGAAAATAATAATGGGTATACTATCCCAAAAAAAAATAATGGGTATACTAAGAGAACACAAACTTTGCGTGAAGTTATCAAAATGTGAATTTTGGCTCAGTGAAGTCACATTCTTGGGTTATGTGATTTCAAGTAAATGTATTAAAGTAGATCCTATCAAGGTATCTGCCATCATAGAATGGAAAGTTCCGAGGAATGTTCGTGAAGTGAGAAGTTTTCTTGGATTAGCTGGATACTATCGTCATTTTATTGAAGGTTTTTCCACTATTTCAACTTCACTGAATAAACTTCTAAGGAAGGACGTCAAATTTGAGTGAACTAACATGTGTCAGAAGAGTTTAGAGCGATTGAAGAATGTTTAACGGAAGCACATGTACTAATAGAACCAGTAGAAGGTGTGGATTATACAATCTTCAGTGATGCATCTCATAATGAAATGGGACGTGTACTTATGCAAGAATGTAAAGTCGTAGCTTATGCTTCAAGATAGTTAAAACCCCATGAATGTAATTATCCTTCTCATGATCTTGAGTTAGCAGTCGTATTTGTGTTGAATTAAATTACATAGAAATGTTATCTGACGTTCATAGCTCATTTTAGTACCATTAATTCAAAGTTTAACAACAATTTTAAGGTTTATATTTCTTAGTTCATCAAGCATGTCAAACACGAAACTCAACCAAACGACTGCTTATGAACGTAGAAACAATCTATACTCATATCATAATCACTAGATATATCTAAGGGCTTACCTCAGACTAAAATATGCAGGTTTTAGAAATTTTTTGGCAAAAGTTCTAGCGACCTCACACTCTCCGGATAGCACCATTGTATTCTCCACACTCAGAGCAACAGAATAAAAGAAAGAATGAGAAAAAATAGTGAGGAGTTGAGTGAGTTGAGTACTCCTTATATAAGAGTTGATGTAAGGAAGAAACCAATGGACTTATGCGATTTTCATCGGTAATTGTCAACATCAGCTAGTGTGATCCGGGAGTATTTCATACGACTCTCCCTGATTGGGACTAATATTAGGTCTCCCTCATTCTTACTATTCTTATTACTATTATTATTACTATTATTATTATTAACATTTCTATTACTCCCTCCGTCCAAGATTAAAGTTCTCACTTTGACTTGGCACGAAGTTTAATAAAACAGAAAATTTACTTTGACTTTCCTAAAATACCCTTCATTCCTATCCCTTCTCCTCTTTTCGATCTTGTCCACCCATTTTCTTCCGTCTCTGCAATCGGATGCCCCCCACCCCAAATAAGGCCAAATCTCCTTGCAGCTCTGCCATTATTACCGACGGCCGTCACCTATTCCGATCCAATCGGCGCCTCACTGCTCGCCGTCACCTATGCCTACTCATTCAATCGGCGTCTGTACTCAGCCACCACTGCCGATTTCTTTGTTAACGCTGACCTCGGATCTGAATCGAAATTCTCAGATCTAATGGAGATGGACAAGAAAGAAGAAGAGTTGAAGATGGACTGGGCATTGGACCGGGAATTGAAGAAGAAGAAGAAGAGGAGATCGGACCGCCCTTTTACCTCTGACCACTACCACCGCCTCGTTGCCTCACCTTTACTCCGAGATTCGCTGCTCTCAATTTACAGGAAAAGATCGGAAGAGCAAAGGAGAAGAAAGAAGTAAAAGAAGAAGAAGGAGAAAGAAGAAGAAGATGATGATAAGAGAAGAGAGAAGAAGAAGAGAG